AAAACTAAATAGAGTGACAATGTTTGACTTTTAAATTTGTTGACACAAATTGGGGCCAGGTTAGTTATAAAAGCTTTACTTCGTAATATACATATTATAAGAGCGCTCTTTACGTTTCAAAGATTAACCTGGAGTTAAATGCTTTCCCCCTAATGCGTTCATGCGTCACTAATGAATGTTTTGTCCTTATTCCTCTCATGTCAAAATATGAGACAAAACATCCATCAACGTACGTTTATGAATAGGGCCGTATTTTAGATGTACGACGTATGAACAAAGCATGCGATAGCCTTATTATAACGTCAAAAATAAAATAGGCTCAAATGTTTGCTATATTATGCTAAATGTGTGGTAGCAATTAAAAGTGTGACATAAAACCATATTTTTAACATATTATCAAAGATATCGTCTAAGTAGAATGTTTCAATGTGTTTCTAGCAACGGTGACATTTTCAAGTGCACCAAAACAATAAAAGTAGTTTAAAAAGCTGAACCGATATCCTAACAACTTCTCAAATTTTTGATGAAAACGATAAATTTGATTTGAAACTTTTACAATAATTATTAATAACCTTCTGTCAGAGGTTTGTTCTCATCTGAAATTTTGAAAATAAAAGAAACAAAACATGCTTTAACTAATTCAGGTATAATGAGATTTATGTCGTCAAACAGAACGTGTTATAGTATCTCTTTGTTACCGTGGTTACAATTTTTTATTACATGGAGCAAATTCCTAACCATGGCAACAAACAGATTTTTATTTCACATTTTATAATAGTCGGAGTAAGTTTATTATGTAGTTTGAACGATATAGATATTTCTTCGATTGTTAAAAAATAATTGTTAAAGTACTTTTTAAGATATACTCACAGTAACCAGAACCAGTAACCATATTTTCGAGCTGTATTGCGACTCTCATCACTGAGGACACCGGCTGAGCACCAATGTATGTTCTGTCTACATTTAACAGATGATGGCCAGACCTAATAGGTTCTAGCGTCATAGGGTTTTCTCTTAACCATATTTTAATTGAATTTAGTTTTACATTGTATCGTTGAATTCATTTTTGTCTGTAGCCGTCAGCCATGTTTCGAACAAAACAGACATTACGTTCTACCTAAAATGGTAGAAATTGAAAAAATCAAAATCAATTCTTAGCATTCTTAGGTTTCCAGCTTAAAGAGGTAGCTTCTCAACTATTATGGTTGCTAAGAATTCATCTAAAATGACGGATCTTTCAAGAATATATATTAGATATTTGAAATAATATAAGCGGAGTATATATATATAGTGTATATATTTTACAGTTGTAATAAATCAATAACAACAGCCTTTATACTAAAAGGATGTCATTTAATACCATAAGCGCGAAGTAATGTTTACTTAAACATATTTTAAGTAATAAAATTATTAATATTTTAGGAAATAATCTCCTTGCAAATAGATTAGTACGATGAATATTTATGTGCATTTTATGAAAATTATTTTGGTAAGGATTATCCATTTTATCAATTTTCAATTATGAAACCCCTTGTTAGGTTCGTGTTCCCGAATATGAATTAAAATCAAATCGAGTTTCGGGATTTAAATTTTTATTTCTGAAGGTTGAGGTTTCCGAGATTCAGTAATTGACATTTCAGTTAATTTTACGTGAAGTGCCATGAACACTTGAATGACCGAAGATACAATATTATGTTCTTGCACTGACTCTCGAAAGCATTTGTGTTCCAGATTATTAGTATAATGAAAATACATTTATTTCCAAGAAATTACTCGAATTTGGTCATCTGGGTCTTTTAATTGCTATACAACAAAATAACACGAACGTGACAAGATATAGGAAAACGAGTTTTGTTACGAATACATTTTATTAAACTTTGAATCGCGTTTAATATTAGACGTAAAATTAAGCACAAAACATCGGCTTTAAGTTGTATTCAAAACACCAACTATGTCATAAAATATAAAGATATTATGATCTCCGGATAATATTTCATGTGCCACGTAATATATTAGAAGATCGTACTGGAGGTCGTTTCGATACCGAGGATTAATTCTAGCAATAAGTAATTTAAAGACTATTCTTAAGTAGAGTAAGTGTTAGATGATTAGTAAAATATGCAATATTACACTTATTTCAAGACCACTCCCCCTCCATACCAAAAGTAAGGTACTCTGCCGCCTTTAGTCGTAAGTGATATTTTTTTTTATTTTAGCTATGGATTTAATATTTTGTAATAACTGATATGAAATATCGATAGATTTATTTAATGGCAAGTAGTCAAATTTATAATCGACTCAAAAATTCGATCTAGTAAACTCTATATAGCGACGCTGAAGGAATTTTCTGGCTATATAAAGTATATGGAAAGAAAAAATTAGTGTAGGGACCGGGCACACCACAAAAGTCGAGTAATTTCGACGATTTTGGGATTCAAGTGACGTTATATGGAGTTTGCACTGTATTTTTTTGCTCTTATTTGTCACCACATCAATAAACTAAAATTATATTGTGTACGAAATAGATTCTAAAATTTTGTTGTTCACTTATTATAATGTTAATATTAACATTTGGATAAGGCTTCGTGCGTGGTAGAGTATGTGTAGTAGGTAGAAGATATTTTTTATATTGCACTTTATTGTGTAAACGTTTAAGAATTCAGCAAATAAGATTTTGATATAGATAATAATAGATTCCAAATTTCTTCGTGCAGGGTATTTCGTTGAAATAACGGTCCTTATTCGAAAGAGACTACTGTCTTCATATTTAAATGTAGCACTCCAAACGTGTATTGATATACTATTGTTATAAATTTCAATTACTTTTTGTAGTTGCGCTTAAATTATTATAATATAAAGTTTAGGTAAGGTTTAATATACGCAGCATCTTGCAAATGAACCCTAATAATAATTAATATCTAAATGAACTTTGGTCGTATTTTTACAAGGGCTTTGTTAAATGTAAGAAGAATTGTTTTTAAGTTCTGATAAACATATTTTAGTAATGTCAACATATCAAAGCATAACAAACATTTTCATGAATTACAGTTGTGATCTAAACGCAGTTGTTTCGTAATGTCAAACCAATATCTTATTGTTCTTAGGCTATTATTCAAGACGTTAGTTCTCATGACAATAGGACTGTGAAATTAGAAGAATTCGAACATGTATTTGACACTTTAGGCTCAGATATGTGGGTGTTATTTAAGCATATTGATTGAGTACATATTTGAATATCAAAATAGTAATGGTAATTTCGAAAATAACATCTAATTTTGGGGAAATTTCTTTTACCATCCATGTTGAGGCAAATAAATTATTATGAAATTGTTTTTTTTAATAAGATGGTCGCCAATAAGTAATTACGAAAAAACCAACAATGGCTCAATAGATTTTTGATGTTTGCTACAAATAAAACAATAATCATTTAGTTTTGTTTTTCATTGTCCGATTAGCTGACGTCATTTAAGAACTTGATTTATTTGTTATTAATAACAATTCGATGTTTATTTATAAGCGTGTAACGAATTCTTAAGGGTTCAATAAATCACAGTTGAAATTGTAATTATGATCAATAATTAGTTAACACGAATGAATAATATTAATTCGTTTGCAAAGGCCCGTTTTTGAGTTGTTTTGGTTTGTAAAATAACTGTGTACCAAAAGTGCACATCGTACGGATGGATTCCGAAATTATTACGCAGTTAAAAATTTAGCTTTTATAAATATATTAAGTCTCGATTAATGAATTGACATGGAAAAAATTTGTTTGTAATGGAGAATATATCGTCGTTATAATTTCACGAATTGAAGAACTTTTTAACTAATAAACTATAGTTAAAATTACAATAAGCTCAAACCTTAAATGCGTTATAAGTTATCTTTACCTATCGCAAGGATCTCCAATGGTTGGACAAGTAAAGTTCGTACAAAATTGCACCTAAAACTGCCGGACGCATTTAAGATTTTCGAATATTGTGCAGATACTGATCATGTTCTTTCTTTAATTAATTAAATAATTAATTTAATTTTTCTAATGCGGTCTCAACTCTTGCTTTGCTTACCAATGGTAATAATTATGTATAAATAACGTAGCTCATGATGGACATATTATATGTAATAGGATAAAATTAAATCTGTTTCTTTTATTCACATTTTTTATTCATTTTCTAATATTATAGAGGTAAGTTTTTTTTCTATTTAAACCAACTCATTTAAAATTCTTCCGCCTATAGCAAGCTATTCTTTCAGCGGTTACCTATTCTCAAGGTTATTGTGTAATTAAAAGCCAGTATACTTTTAATACATAACTTTATTTTTCATTTAAAATGTATCAATGTAAATAATGGAAACACTTATACGGAAAGCTAAGCATCTTATAAAAATATCTTTTTTGAACTGCTCTTAACATCGGGCAAGTACATAGACATTGCCTCCAACAAGTATAATTGTGTATATAAAATTCTTTGCGAAGCTAATAATTGGTACACCGTGCCGCATCATATTTTTCCTTTCATATTTATTTAATTTTTGTGTTGGAATGCAAATATACGTCAGAGACAATTTACCAAATTGATTTTCTGCTAAGCCCACACCGCAGTCACTTAAGACCCTGAACACAATAATCTTAATTCTAGCATAATTATTGTGGGGTTTACAGTGTTTAATAGGTGAAGTAAAATCTCCTCTTAATCTTAAATGTTTTCCAATCATTCAGAAATTCAAGATCAAGTATTTAATGTCAAGTATATGGATATGTCCTCAAAATCCAACGAGACCGTAATACTTTTGTCATTATGTCTGAGTAGTGTTTAGAGATTTTAGCCCAACATAAATATTGATTAAATTCATATTTCAACTCATTAAAATTTTGTACTGGAAAACATTAAGATGAAGATTGCTACTGACTGACGAGTGTGTAATTGACATGGCTCATATATTTAGGTCTGTAGAAAACTTGTCAGTTCAAGAAAAAGCGGCGTGGGTGTTCATAGGATGCATTAAGGCAAAGCTTTGTTTTCGGGGATTGTCGGTGATGTGGCGCCACTGGCGCTACGGCTAGCGTCACGAAGCGCTTCGTCGAAGCTCTGGGTCGAATTCGACCTGGACGATACTTTACCCTGGAAATAAGTTTATATTAATGGAAACAACAGCAACGCAACAACCCAGTTATAGACGAAATTACCAATCTTTGTTTTAATTTTTAAAATTATAATATATGCTTATGATTAATATAGAAAGTGTTAAACAATGATAAATTATAGAAAATTTGTTTCAATATTGGCCTATATAGGTTCCAAATTTTTCTGTTGGTGGAAAAAACTTATCTTGCTTTTTTTATCGACTAAAAACGGAAATTGGTTATCAATTTGATGCTTAATATTTTTGTATATACATATCATTGACTAGAGGACTATAGCAATATAATAGAAACGTTAATTTATAAACACTGTATAGACTATCGATGAGGTTTTTTCTTATAAGAAAAAATAAAGACCATTTATATGAACTAACTTAGTCTACTATTGTATGTTGTTACCTATACCAATTTATAACAAGACACAACCTAAATGCGTACCACGTATTTGATCATTATTTTCAAGTTAATATCTTGATATTAAAATCAGATAATTTCAAGTATAACTTTGATTAGTATCGTCTTTATCAAAACAATTCGGAAATATTTATTTTATAACTGTGATAAGAGCGATGAGTCAACCTTAAATGATAGACATATTATGCTTTTACGGAAATGATAACACACAATTTTTGCATGCGCCATATACGTCGATCTTTCTACTTATAAACTATACTGCGTATAAAAAATTACCTTAACATTCTCATAAGCGAACCCAACACGTTCCTCTATCGAGCGGAAGGAATCAGAGTTCCTCATTTGCCCAATTTTTTGCGTGACGCCAGCTGTTAGCCCTCCCAGGATTGAGGTCGTCTTTTCCGCCGTCGATTTTATCACAGATTCAGTTTTTTGGTATCTGAAAATAATTAATTAAGTATATTTTGTATATTGTTATACAACAAAATAACTCCTATTAATAAAATCTCCCTAATATACACATAACGATTAGTTAGGTGTATTAACTACCAAGTCTAATAGTTTTTGTAAATTTCAATAGAAAAATTACTAATACATGATTCATAGATGGTTGTTTGTTGAAATGACTTTAATTGACTACTACGCGCATAAGATAATACAATAATTGTATTTGTATAATCTTGTTATATTTGATTAGATAATAATTGTTAATCCTGTAAGAAATTCGGTTTGTCTAGCGACCAAATTACAGTAGTATTTTCATGAAGGTTAAAGAAGGTTATTTACCAGATGAAGGCGTAATAGCTCCAATCAAAATTGATCTAGAAATAAGGTACGACATAATATGAACTATGTCAAAAGACATCGTTCGGTTTCTAAAATATGAGAATCGGGGTTTACTATATAAATCGATCGAAAATTTATTATATTTGCTTTAAAGATTAAAAATTTAAACATAATATTTGGTTTTGGCACCGACTCTGTGGAGTGGTAGTAAACAAAATTCCGGAAGAAAACAAAATTTGTTATCAACAAGTAAACACCACATTCTTGGTTCCAACTCTTCACACATGCATCACAATGCTATTTATTTTTTCCTTATACTAAGTTAAAATTAACTTACACTTGGCTTTCCTTTACGTTTTTCAATCCTTGATTAACGTCTTCGGTAATCTCTTTCCACACGGTAATACCAAGTTTGCGTTTTAGTTCAGAACTCTGCCGAATCTGAAAAAATATTTTTTTTCTGGCTAAGATGGCTTAGTTAAGTTAGTAAAAGTACTTTCGTTATACAATTTTATTTAAGGGTTTGAGAAAAATATCGTAACCAAAATTTTGTATACCTAATTAGAATATTTTCTAATTTGTAAAAATACTTTTGAGTGACCATTGTGTGTTTTTGCTTTTATTTGACTTTTCTGAACATATGATAACAAAAAAACATTATGCATTACGCAGTAACCTTTGATTATAAAATGAACAAATTTGACCTTATCAAACTTCCATTCCAATGTTAAACTAAAGTCAATACTATTACAATTATGCAAATTCAAACACATAGTTAAGTTTATTATATCGCTGACAATGTACACAATGTTCTAGTTTTGTAATTTATTATTCAGTATGGTAATTTATTATTTTATTTTATTTACAACGATATCTACACAATAATTAATTTTAAAAAAGGTTCTCAGAAACTGCCGTAATTTTTGATTCTTTCGCTTAATACCATAACAGTATTATTGAGAAACATAGGCTATATTTAACGCACAAAAAATACTCTTTGTTATTACTAAGACGAGTAACTTTCATTGTATATATATTTAGTGCTTCTTTAAAATAGTTTTTTTTTTTAATTAATGAAATTTCGAAATAATAGATTGCTATCTACATTTAGAAAGGAGTAAACGCTAAGGTTTCGAAATTGATTTGACCTACGCTAGTTAATGGCAATACATTTTAACTGGGTTATTATATTCTTTATGAATTTTTACTAGCGTTTGTGGTCAGTTAGCGATTATAAAGTGAACGCAGGTATTCAGAGGTCCTTGACCTAGAAGGCAAGGCGCTGTTCAATATATTTTCAGAAACTATGCTTTATCCGTCCTAATAGTCTATAGAATAAAGATTTCATGGTTTATATATTTGTTTCTAATACAAAATCAATGATTGGTTATTAATTTAAAATATAGACTTTTATTTAATGGATTATTGGAAATCTGGAGTTGGTCGTTGATACAAAATGTTTACTTACTTTGCTCTGCAACACGGTGCGCAGCGTAGCAATTTCATCTTCGACCCTTGCAAGTTCCCGACTCCACTCAGCTTTGAGCTGTTCAGCTTGCTCCGGAGTCAGACCAGCAAGCTCGTCCACAATATGAGCGTCTCCGGCGCCTGCGCCGGCCATTGCTTCTTCGGCTGCAGATAAAAAAGCTGTATGAATTTCCATAATCTCCGAACTTTTCAGTCGGAAGCGAGGTTGTTAAGTGTTTATTAAAACCTATATAATTTTAACATTTAACATTTTTTACGACCCGCAATTTTAATTTTTTTTTGTAACACTCAATTTTGGAAACTGAATTCCAAACTACCCAAGCGGCGATGGAGCTCTTATTCTAATTTTGCTTTTCTTATATACCAGATATTTTTAATTAAACAATCATTCATTATAATAAATTGTCGTAAACAATCAAGCAATAAAAACTCGATGTTTAATGATGCAGTAAACATATCAATAAAAAGTGCATTGAATGTCATTATAACGTCTTCGTTCTTCACCAATCATAACAAAAACAAAAGTCATCTTTTAACAAATATGAATTGTAAATATTGCACATTACTTATTCAAGTGTTTCCGTAATGTTACTTGTTTATGTTACACCAGCGAATGTAAATTCACTGTGTTACACCGATGACGATGTTCAGGTTCCACTTAAGAGCATATTGCCAACATAACAGTACAATAATACACACATATTATACGCCACTTATTATTAGATATATCTATAGTATTCCATAAATTACGGTAAAGCCTCCATCACCACACTTGAAACTAAATAATCGTAAGCTTCAAAAGACACATACGGTTTCTAAAATTTGAAGTCATAGCCACAATATGCTCGTAGGAAAACATCGCTTAAGTTTATGTACAAATAACCAGTTTTCGGAACATAAGCCATAACGAGTTTTGCCACTACTCCGACTCGAGTGACGTGAGTCTAATTATGAAAAGCCAACGACACTAAGTCTTCTATATCTGTGGCAAATTTATTAAAAGAATTTTATACAGACCAGAAGGTTTTGTAAGTCTTACTCTGGTTACTAACCTCCAGGTGTAATTCCTAGAAATTTTTTATAATTTGTATGGCTCGAAACTTTAGCAAGATACGGCTTAGTTAAATCTTGAAATGTGACTCTAACTTCACGCATCTTTTTTTTAAATATACGAAGTCGTCGACGACGATTGTCCATATAAAATTCAGTTTCGATGCATAGAGCAGATTCTGTTAGTTCCGGTAAAGAGCGCCATTCCGTCTCCGTATCCTCTTGGGGCCAGTTTACAATATCTTCTAAATTATCTAATTCATCGACGGCGACATCAAAGCTTGGAGTAGAATCATCATCCGGTGGCACAAAGTAAGGATCCTCCATATACTCCAGGCTAGCTGGCTCTGCACTTGTCTCACCACGACCTGCCATTCCATTAGCTATCTACCTCGCCTTCCACAACAATAAACCATATTTTCATTTAATAGTTTAATCTTCAAGGTCCTTAAAGAGTAAACGCACATTGGCAAAAAATAACTATCACTTATTTCGCGATTAACATATTAATCAACACTGAAGCGACCACCAGGTAGGCGTCATATTGATTTTGTTCACTCGATATTAACCGAAAACATAGTAAACATTTCAGTTTTAATAATAAAGCAAACAATATGTTTGCTTTCTTCCGCCACGTTGGGAACCGTTAGCGCAATCGCCCGCGTTCGTCTCGCGCCGCTGCCTGAGTGCTCGTATTTGCCACTTTCACCAAATGCGCGAGTTGTACCTCTACATTTTTTTATTTTAATTTTCATTATCACGACCCTAAGAGGATGATGTTCACGATTAAATTTTTAGGCAGTGAACAACAACAAATTATCATCTACCAGAAAAATTATAAAATTCGTGTAATAATAATACAAAAAAAACCATAAGTTAAAATAAAGTTTATTGACAGTCCTAAATCCGAAGGTGCGCTTGCGCTGGACCACGCAGGCTGCGTCATTAGCACAACAAAAGCTTGCATCATCTGACTACCATTTGTGATTTGGCCAATGTTGCTTGAAATTTTTTACAGTGTAGAAATCACTGTTTCCATTTTAAAAGATTTCTTAACTTCCTTGTTTCAAGGAATTTTTTTTTTAAGGCATAAATATGTTAAATATGAAATGTTTTCTTAAATAGATATATATATATTTGTTTATCTGATAAAATAATAACAACTACAATTTCAAATTATAGCAGATACAGGATTTCGGTGTGTCTCATTCTGTGTACCTTGTAATCCGAGATGCCTATCACTGTTGAACATAACTACTAATTTAGTAGGTAGAGGCATATCTTCACTACTGTAGGTAATGCATCTTTGTCAGGTTATTAGATACAGCTTTTTAATAACATCTGCCATAGAATTTGACAAAAATTCTGACCCTATACAACACTGCCCTACAAGGTATTTACCAGCTGACAAATTTAAGTGTTTCTAAAAGAAAATACACTTTGACTGGATTTAACATTTATATAAATAGTGTTATTTTTTAAATGAGATTCAACCACAATTTTTTAAACTTTATAAATACTTAAATTAAAACACTAGCATAGTTATTTAAAACTAAGTATGTGACAGATTTAAGTTAATTTTAATTTATTTAATATATGTTTTCATTAAATCAATTTGATTAAAACCAGTGCAGTGGCGAAACCTTATAAACATTTATGATACATGTTGACTGGATAGACGGTACAGTACAACAGACCGTCATCTGAATCATCCAGAAATATAGAACTTCTTTATTAGTGTGTGCCACGAAACAACAATGTGAAACATAATATGTAGGCCAAATGATAACGTTATTCGTCGGTACAACATACACAATATTATGGAAAGTTCTATAGAAATTTGCCTATAGACAGTGTTTATAAATGTTGCTTAATCTCGGATCAGTTAAACTCACCAGTCTGGATACCGCTCATCTTTTCAAATAAGAATAAGTTTTCTACAAACGCAAAGGCACGCACGTCCTGCGATTAAAAGAAAGGGTTTATTAGCGTATAATTAAAATTATTAAGGCAATGCCCAATCAGTATTATAAAATTCCCGAGACAAAAATAAAATCAACAGTATGCAAAATGCAAATACAGAAATCGGCAAAAACTTATCAAAATCAGAAAGACAGATTCTTCATTCTTAGCACAGGCCACAGACTATTCAATATTCATGAAAATTAAAACTTTAAAAAACATTCGACTTTTACAGTTGCTGTATCCACAGATTATACAGACTATGCCTAATATCTAACTATCGTATGAAGTCTAGATAAAAGATTTTATTTTTAAAGTAAAAATAATAATTCATATAAAAGTTAACGTTATACAGAAACGTATGAACAACAAGATAAATTACTCTACTTTTGTTTTTTTTTTTTTTTTTTTTTTTATGGCTCTGACACGATTTGTGCATTAGCCAGCGTCAAGTATAGGATTTTTTATAATTCGTGCTTGTCTTTAAAAATTCGACCGTGTCATCCATGTATAGTTTAAGCAGTACCGTACAACCCTCCCAAAGGCCGAGAACAAATTTAAATTAAATTAAAACTTGCCCTCGAACCGGGACTCGAACCCGGTACCACTCACCTAGCTGCCACTTAATAAGACCGCTAGGCTATGAGGCCCCTATTACTCTACTTTCTGTTTGGTTAGTGTATACCGTAGACGGACTGTGGTTCTATACTGTATCTACGGTGTATACGAATTTATTACGCTGTCGCCTGTCACTTGACTTCAGTGACTTAAGCTATTTTGTCATACTCCTATAATCTACGGCTACAATTATTCCAATAACTTCATATCAAAGATATTCCGATCGCTATGAATATATTATATAACTTCTCAATGTCAGCCACTGAGGCCTTCGGGTCAGTCAGTCAGTTAGACAGGTTGAGGATCCTTTAGGTCGGACGGACGGAACGGACAACACCTTTATATATCCACATTATAATTATGTAAGCCATAATTTGCAAACAGATATTACATTTGGTTTATACTTATTAAATATCGGCGTTCCTTAAGGGATATCAAAATTAAATGTGACTATCTGACGTAGAATTGTAAGCTTGGGATACAGATTTATTGCTGGGGGTGACTGGAATGCGAAGCATTCGCACTGGGGCTCTAGATTAATAACTACACGTGAAAGGGAGCTGAAGAAAAGTGTAGATAAACAGTTCTTGACTACTGTCTCAACTCCGCAACCAACACACTGGCCCACAGACCCGAACAGACTGCCAGACGTTCTAGACTTCTTCATCACAACAGGGCTGTCTCGCCTTTTCTTCAATGTTGAGTCATGCCTCGATAGCTCATCTAACCATGTTCCTGTAATATTGACAGTAAGCACCACTATCCTTAAGGAAGAAGCTCGGCAAACATTGTACAACAAATACACAGACTTGGATAGCTTCCGGGAAATAGTTGACACAGAGCTAAGCCAAAAATAGCACTTAAAACAGAAGAGGATATCGAAGAAGCTACAAAGCATTTCACCACAACAGTTCAAGCTGCCTGCTGGAAAACCTCTCCAGAGCGCTTGAATCACAGGCCACGGCAAAATAAGATATCGTTTGAAATAAAAGAACTGATTCTGAACAAAAGAAGACTGCGAAGAGTATGGCACACTAGCAGGCTTTCAGTAGATAAAAGAGCTCTTAACAAAGCAGTCAAGGATCTTAAACTTGCCATAAAAAATGCAAGGGACAAAACTATGGAATGTTATCTAGATTCCTTAACTGCAACAAATGCTACAAACTACTCTCTATGGCGAGCTTGTAAGAACTATAATAGACCGATGGATCCCAAACCACCGTTACGCTTACAGAATAACACTTGGGCAAGGACAAAACAAGAAAAAGCTGACGCCTTCGCTGTTCACTTAGCAAAAGTATTCACGCCTAATGAAGCTGACCCAGACACTGATGATTCCTTCATAGATTCGGTCCTAAGTCAAGACTTCCAGCTCGATTTGCCGATTAGACCTACAACGCCGAAAGAAGTCGTGGCAACAATCTCAAAATTGGAGGACAAATAGGCTCCCGGGTTTGATTTAATAGACAAAAAAGTCTTGAAGGAACTTCCCAAAAAAGCCATAGTTTTTCTAACCATCTTATTTAATGGCGTAATAAGAACTGGACACTTTCCATCGCTGTGGAGAGTCTCACAAGTAATTATGATACCTAAAGTAGGGAAGCCAGTGAACGAACTTAGCTCATACAGGCCGATTAGTTTGCTAACCCTAACGTCAAAACTTTTTGAGTCAGTCCTAAAGCACAGATTATTGGAGGAGATTCATCAAAGAGCCATAATCCCGGACCACCAGTTTGGTTTTCGCCAGCAGCATGGCACAGTGGAACAAGTCCATAGAATCTGCTCTGTAATAAGGAAGGCACTAGAGAGAAAGGAGTACTGCTCCTCTGTCTTCCTAGACGTGCAGCAGGCGTTTGATAGAGTATGGCACAAAGGTCTCTTGTATAAAGTAAAAACTCTTTTACCCTGTACATTCTTCCCCATCTTAAAATCTTATCTAACAGAAAGAATATTTCAAGTAAGAGAAGAAGATTGTACATCGCCATTTCACTCAATCAAAGCTGGTGTACCGCAGGGGTCTGTCCTGGGCCCAGTCTTATATACCATTTACACATGTGATTTACCACAAAGCGAACACGTCACATTAGCCACATTCGCAGACGATACTGCTGTACTGGCATGTAGTAATAGCCCAATAGAAGCTTCAGACTTCCTACAGACTGGATTGCAAGAAATTGAAACCTGGCTTTCGAAGTGGAGGATAAAAAGTAGTGTGACAAAATCTGTTCACGTAACCTTCACTCTCCGTAGAGGAGACTGTCCGCCAGTAACTCTGTGCAATCAACAACTTCCGCAAGAAAACTGTGTAAAATACTTGGGAATACACCTTGATAGGAGACTCGTATGGAAACAACACATACAGAAGAAGAGAGAAGAAATCAACCTGAAATATAGAGGACTCTACTGGCTACTTGGCAGAAATTCCAAACTGTCAGTAGATAATAAGCTACTCATCTACGAAATGCTCTTGAAACCAATTTGGACATACGGGATTCAACTATGGGGTTCGGCGTGTGACTCTAATATAAGTATCATACAAAGGGTTCAAAATAACATCTTGAAACAAATATCCAACTGTCCGTGGTTTATAAAAACATCGGAGATTCATGAGCACCTCAAAATAAGGACTGTCAAAGAGGAGATCAAGACCTGGAGTATAAAATACAGAAAAAGGCTAGAAATGCATCCTAATAAGCTTGCCACGCAACTAACCATACCGGACCTAATAAATAGGCTTAAAAGGCGACAAATCCTAAGTCTTGATAGACACGGTTGAAAGAGAGGAGCAGTCTCGATGGAGATTTTGCTCTGAACGCCTAACAGCTTCCAACACATCTGCTCATAGTCTGACTGATTGCATGATAAAGACTTAAAAAAAAAAATCTGACGTAGAATAAAAAATATAAAGAGAAAAATACATTTCATAAGGGACATATCGAGCCTCTGTATCCGAATGCATGATTGCAATCAACTTAAAACTGAAGCCTGCACCCATATTACCAATTATATTGTTAATAACAGTTTTTCCTGAGGCCTGAATAGTAAAGCGCGGGAAACGTTGGTCGTGGCGGGAGTGTTTTTTCTTGTGAAATTTTTAAGGGTCTGTTTCACAATGTATAGATAAAGTAACAAATAGCTATGTGTTGCATAAATTATTTGGAAGATAAATTGTGCTATCTGTTACTTCATCGGACTCATAGCTTATGATGGGCTTTTTGTGACAAATAGCGCTATTTGACAGTCGTGAAACGCAGCAATAGAGTTTATCCTACCAATAAGTAATAAATAGCTAATTTGGAACTTATGTAGAACTTATCCGTACATTGTGAAACAGACCCTAAATTTAATTTAACTTGTATAAAAGATCAGTTTGTATATATTTGTATGTAGTAATTTAATTTAATAGTTTAGTTTATTCATTTGTGTATATATTCTACAGTATCTGGTAAGTTTAAATACTTTTTCCTCAAGGCCTGGAGTCAGGCGAAAAAATGGACAAGCCCCCCGGATATCGGGGGCTCGCCCCCCGAGGTAGCTTGTAATATTATAATAGAAAATAGATTTTCTAAACTGGACGAGTCCAGTGTAGATACAGATGTGGATCAACGGAATGACCGAAAAATAATGCGACTAGGTAAAATTTGCAAACACTGCAACAAAAGGAAAAAAAAGATTCGATCCGACGCGTCGTCCTCGCCTGGTGCGAGGCGTTCCCGCGGAATGGTCTCCCGAAGAGATATTAGACAACATCTCTCTGCCTGTAGGCAGCGGAGGAATTATAAAAATTAGACGACTAAATTATAAAGTACGTAACAGCAGCCCTCCTGAGTGGAAGCCATCACAGACTATTGTAATAACTTTCGATGGTCAAACCCTACCTAAACATGTATTTGTCTGCTACAATGCCCTGCCCGTGGAACTTTACGCATACCCCACTATTCAGTGCTATTCTTGTTGCCGATTTGGTCATACTAAGTCTAATTGTAACTCTCGGCCCCGCTGTTACAAGTGTGGCCAAGGCCATACTGGGGACACATGCAACATACAAGATGATTCCGCGTCTTGCTGTCTATGTTCTGGTCTACACTTTGCTACAAACAGAAAGTGTCCAGAATATGAACGGCAGACTAAAATTAAATTGTATATGGCTCAGAGATGTGTATCTTACGCAGAAGCAAATAAAGTGTACGATCCAGTTTCAAAATCTTTCGGGGGTCGCTTTAATAAACAGTAGGTAACCTTAACAATAATGAAACTATGGTCTCAATCTCTGATTTATTCCAAGTTTTGACTGAAATTAAATCCATTTCTAACTCTGACAACAACGTAACCGAACAACGCCGCCCAACGATTACTTCCTTAACTCAATTAAAATCCTCTTATGCGTCACGAACGCGAACAAATAATACAGTGGAATTGCAGAAGCGCTATCTGCAATAAAAATGATTTAATCCATTTGCATAATATATTTGAACCATTTGTCTCAACTCTGTCGGAAACATGGCTTCGCCCGGAATTGATTTTTCGAATTCCAGGTTATGTTATTCTCCGACAGGACTGGCCTGACGGCTATGGCGGTGTTGCCATAGTCATTAAAAATAATCTCCCCTATTCCTTATTTCCACTACCCTCATTCGGAGATGACTTATCAGTCATTGCTGCTATTGTAAATAAAATTTGTATAGTGTCTATTTATTTTTCTCGTCCTAATGTAAATATTTTTTCTCATCTTAATCAACTGTTCTCCATCCTTCCAAAGCCATTCTTAGTCCTAGGTGATTTTAATTGCCAACATCAATCCTGGGGAAGCACTTCTTCCAACTATTATGGAGATCAATTATTAGATATTATATATTCTCATTGTATCTGTATTTTAAACACTGGGCTGCCAACCCGTGTTACTGGTCTAAGTGAAGGTGCAAGTGCGCCTGTACTTTCTTTATGTTCACCTGATTTAGCTTCAACTTTGGACTGGCACCCTCTTGCATCTTCGTATGGTAGTGACCACTTTCCACTTGTAATTACTTTTCCTTCACACAAACCTAACGAAACCACTCGCTCTCCTCGTTTTAAATACAGATTAAACAATGCTGATTGGGAATTATTCAACCAACGAGTAGAGCAGAAAACTAGTACTTATTCTCAAGAAGGTGATCAGATCTCCGCCGAAATTCTTTCTCAGGTTTTGATTGAAGCTGCCGATGAATCTTTTTGCACTAAAACTAAGATCCGATCTCAAATTCCTTCGCCTCCCTGGTGGGATCATGAATGTACAGCTGCAATAAAAACAAGAAAACAGGCTGAAAAAAATTACTGTGAGGAGATGTCAGAAGAAAATTTCGAGTTATATTTAGAATCTGCCCGTAGTGCTAAAAAATTGTTTAAGAAAAAGAGATATGATGGTTGGCAATCATTTTGTGCCTCAGCCCAGACGTCAGCCCGTCAGAGGTCTGGCGTAATATTCGTAGATTAAGATCTGCATATAATAATTCTCCCTCTTCTAAATTACCGCTAACCCTACCTGATCAGTTCATGGATCATCTTGCACCCCCTTCTGTACCGGAACAGGGATTTCCTCCATTATCTATTCCTGCTTACATTTACAATGACCAAACTGGATTAAACGCTCCTTTCTCTTTGATCGAACTTAAAGGTGTACTTAATAACGTCAAAGACTCTACTCCAGGAGAAGATGGATTTCCATATTCTTTTTTGAAAAACCTTTAGGACCGTGTGCTGATGCTGTACTTAAATATTTTCTATTATGATTTCTGGGTGCATTCCCAAGTCTTGGATCACTCAATCTATTATCCCTATTTTAAAATACAATAAACCAGCCGATGATCCTTCTTCTCACAGACCTATTGTCCTTTCTTCTGTTTTAATGAAAACAGCAGAACACCTAGTTAAAATCCGTTTAGAATGGTTTTTAGATAGTAAAAATCTATTAGCAACGTCACAATTCAGTTTTAGGAAAAGTAGAAGCACAATGGATAGCTTAGGTATATTCACTACGGACATAAGATTAGCTTTTTCAAACAACGAGTCGATAGTAGCTACTTTCTTATTTAAAGCAGGTAGTATGTCCGACCCCAGTAACTTTAGACCAATTTCCGTACTACCTACTTGTAGTAAAATATTTGAAAAAATTATATTAAATCAACTGGTAAGTCATTTTAACGTAAACAAATTATTACATAATAATCAGTTCGGTTTTACCAAGGGTCGCTCGACAGCCGATGCCGGTGTTGAGTTATATAGATATATAGTTAAGGCTTGGGAGGAGTCGCATGACGCTTTAGGTGTTTTCTGCGACTTATCCAAAGCATTTGATTGTGTCCAACACGAGACCTTAATCGGGAAACTCCGCCACTATGGCATCAAGAATACCGCACTGAATCTTCTGACTTCCTATTTACACGGAAGAACTCAGAAGGTTGAAGTGAATGGTAAGAGGTCCTCTGGGTCGGCAGTAGATATGGGGGTACCACAGGGCTCAATTCTTGGCCCTTTCCTCTTTCTTGTTTATATAAATGATCTACCTTTCATGGTAGAGAGAAAACATCAGATAGTTTTGTTTGCTGATGACACGTCCTTGATTTTGAAAATCAAACGACAAATAACAAATTTTGACGATGTGAACAATGCTCTGTCTTCGATTGTCCATTGGTTTAGTATGAATAACCTTCTACTTAATGCAAAAAAGACAAAATGCATTAAATTTTGTGCAAAAAATGCAAGGGTTATGGATACTAGACCAATTATAAACGGTGAGGAATTGAATCTGGATGATACAACTGTATTTCTCGGAATCACCATGGATTCAAAACTTCAGTGGTCCCCTCATATTAACGGATTGGCGAAGAGACTTAGTTCTGCAGCCTACGCGGTTAAAAAAATTCGCTCACTAACTGATGTCGATACAGCTAGACTTGTTTATTTTAGTTACTTTCATAGCTTAATGACTTATGGCTTATTATTATGGGGTCATGCTGCTGATGTCGAAACTATTTTCATCCTGCAGAAGAGGGCTATTCGTGCAATCTATAATTTAAAATGTAGGGAATCTCTTAGAGATAAATTCAAGGAAATTAATATACTTGCCTTTCCCTCGCAATATATTTATGAAAATATTATGTATGTATACAAAAATAGTGATAAGTTTACTAGAATAGAACATACGCACAATGTTAATACACGGAACAAACGCAGGCTGCAATTTCCCCCGTACTAGACTATCTAAAGTTAGTAATTCTTTTTTTTGGAAAGGGATACTCTTCTTTAATAAAATCCCAGAGGCTCTTTTATCACTGCCTTTCAATAAATTTAAGAAATGTATTAAAGAAAAGCTGTGTAAAAAGGCTTACTATAAAGTCAACGATTATCTAGTTGATAAAAGGGCCTGGGACTAGTGCTAGACAGGCTACTTCTAATTAATTTGCGATATTTGTTTTAAATAAGTGTTGTTTGATGATTTGCTGTTTTAAAAGAGTACCGAGAGTTTTTTACGCCGGCTTTTTCTCTCGGCCTACACCCTCTGTCTTCTTTGCCGATGAGTAGGGATGCCTTCAAATTTAATGACGTGGAATAAGTGATACATGTATCTTATGTTCCATAATAAACATATTTTATTTTATTTTATCTTAGATATAAGCTCAGCTTATGACAATGTTCTTATATCGGTTCTTAGGGGAAAATTTGCGTTGCTTAAATGTACCACCTATTCTGTCAAATTTTACTATCAATATGCTCAGTGAAAGATACATTAATTTATTTATCGAAGATGTCAAACTATCCCGGACTGTGTGGAAAGGATTACCACAGGGTTCTGTGCTCAGTCCTTTGCTCTATAACGTCTATACATATGATTTAGAAACATCATTGCAGGCATCAGCAAACGTACTACAATATGCAGACGATCTTCTTATATACAAATCGGGGAAATCGATTGAAAATAATTGCCAAACTCTAACATCTTCCCTTTCATTTTTAAAATCATGGCTAAATTCGAATGGTTTAGACTTATCTGTATCCAAGAGTAGGGTTGTGTTGTTTTCCAGAATGCGTAGGCCTCTCCCGGTCCAGGTAAAGTTCAACAGTGTTTTGATTCCTACGACTAATGACGTCAAATTCTTAGGAGTAGTTCTAGATTCCAAGCTTACCGGTGTACCCCATTGTGAATATGGAACTGCAAGATGTGAACGTAATTTGAATATTCTTAGATGCTTATCGGGCATCTGGTGGGGAGCGCATTCACACTCCTTAAAACTGATTTACAACGCCATAATCAGAAGTGTAATGGATTACGGTACTTTCCTATTGGAACCAGGAATCTGGTTTTAAAAAAATGGATAGTATTCAGGCTAAAGCAATGAGAATAGTCCTAGGAGCTATGAAGTCAAGTCCAATCAACTGTATGAGAGTCGAGTGTGTAGAGCCTCCATTAAGCTTACGACGGCAATTTCTGTCTGATAAATTCCTATTCCGTTGTGTCCAATTCAGTAACCATATCCTAACACCTAAACTGACTTGCCTGGCATCTTTAATCCCCAATTGTAGTTATTGGAAAAACAAACGCCCACCATGTTTGGTTGAAAGTTACAGAAGATTTACTTCTTTTGAGGCTCCTACTCACCAAGCGACTTCTAATCCATTGTTCAAATATAGTTATGATTCTCTTGTAATCTCTCCTGATATACATACTAGCACAGGTCTTGTGAAAATTGAGCAAAACCAAAAGTTAATATTTAACTATATTGTTGACACCAAGTGGCCACAATGGCATCGAATATTTACAGATGTATCTAAGCGTTCCAAAGATGGATGTGTAGGTGTTGGTGTACTGCACTCTAATTACAATATTGTTCAAAAAACTAAACTCCCTCCTGAACCCTCCGTGTTCACTGGCGAATGTATTGGCCTTGTTAAAGCCATAGAATACATCCTACTAAAACTTCAAAAAACTGTAATTTTCACAGATTCACTGAGTTCTTTAAATGCCCTAGCCCGGTTCCCATTTGGCTCACATTATCAATTCCCTGTCATTTCCGAAATTAGAAACCTGCTATTAAAATGTATAAAAGAAAACTAATCCGTATCGTTTGCATGGGTTCCTGGTCACTGTGGAATATCTGGAAACGAGAAAGCTGATCGTTTAGCCAATGAGGCGGTGGAGAGTGGAGATGTAGACATTTTTATAAACTATGCGCATGACTTGATGTCTCTTTCAGGGATTTATCTCAGGAATTCCTGGACTGAATCCTGGGCTCAAGATAGTTCTAAAGGTCGCCATTATCGTACTATTCAACCTTCTATACCCAGTAAGCCCTGGTTTTGGAGACTGAGATTCGACTGCGATATAGATATGCGACTGGGACACGTCTGCACCCCATCTCATCTTACTAAGTTAAATATTAATGACAGCCCTACGTGCGATTGCGGATATGATGTAGGTGATTTAAATCACATCATGTTTGTTTGTCCTCGACGCGACCGGTCGGCTCTTCTCGAAGGTCTCATTTCCCTTCAAATTCCTTTCCCTTCATCAATATCATGTTTACTTTCAACATTGGACCCACATGTATATAAACTTTTAGCAGCTTTTATCTTAAGTAATAATATAAAAATTTAGACAATATGAACGTAAATATATGTAAATATGTTTTCTTACACTCCTTTTTTATGTAGATTTATAAAAATTGATCTTATATTTTATAGATTAATTACTTTCTATTCCTGAATTCCTTTCCAGCCGATAATTTTATGTTTTTACCCGTTTCCCTGTTTTTGACCCTGGGCCACAATGCACAAACCGTGCGGTCCATAAAAAAAAAACAGTAAACTTTTCGACACGAACTGTCATTTCCATACAAATTAAGTTTTCGACTTTCTACATACACTACTGTTAAGGCATCTTGACTAAGGCCCCTGACAACTACTTTAATATGTATATTATACAACTTAAATATCAAACATCATTATGTAAAACCGGTCTTAGGGTAAACTGGAGCAATATTAAAAACCAAGTAGGTATTAGAGCTAAGTACGACTCCCATGTATAAAAAAGTTATGCATTGTTCCTGTTCCTGATTCAAAATCGGAGATTATCCTTTCAGTGCAAGTAAATTAAAAGTCTAATTAGAATTAATTTTTTATATCGTATAACTTAATATTAACTTCAATACACTCAATAAACAACTATAAATAGCATGTCTAACGCAAGAACTTATCAGTACCAATCTAGTGGATATTATGAAAAAAGTATTTTTTTTTTATAAAAACGCAAAATAAATTATAACTCTGCAGTTGAGTTTAAGGACCTCCCGTAGAACAATTTTTTGAACAATCCCCTAGTTGCGTTTGATCCACGGCTTTTTGGCCACCCTGTATAGTTTAAATCCATAGTAGACTACTTGTTTTGAAGATTTTAAGACTCTACTTTTTTTTAATAATATGGTTTGTTAAGACTCAAGTAGAGACTTTTTGAAGTGAAACATGAGGGTAAATTTTTTTCGGATGAAACGCAATAATAATAATAATATTAGCGGCGCGTTATGAAAAATTGATGAGAGTGAAATTTTACGATGCGCGCGCACCGTGACACAAAATTAACAGAATGAAGTTAGTGGCGCATGTTGGCACGCACGCTGCCACTGTTCTCTGTGTATTTATATTTATAATATTTATCCACATGCTTTGAGTTACTACATTTAAAACACAAGTTTTCATTTTGTTTTTATTATGCAAGTGCGAATTTTATATGTGCGTCTGAATTATAATCAGAAGTGATTTAAATTGAATATTTAAATCAATACTAATTAATATTAGAAAATAATAATAAATATTTATTTATTTAATTTTTCAAATGTAAACTGAACTTTATTGACTATAATGACTCCTTTTCCAGTGTTTGATTATTTAATTGTAATTAATTATTTGCAGGGAATCAAAAACTATTTTAATTATTGCCAAAGAAGTATAACTTCTTACGCCCGTACATAAGTACACGCACCCTTTTTATTTATTTATTTATTTATTTAGTTATAAAGCCCACAACATCACACACAGTCATAAGTCCACCAACTATTTCACAAAATCCCACATCTAAAATGTGTGACAGTTAATGCAAGCATAAGTTTCTCAGTAAAAAAAATCAAATAGAAATTAAAAAAAAAACACAACTAAAACACACACGACAATGCAAGCACACATTAAAATAAAATCAATTTTTTAACATAAACATAAAATAAAATAAAATTTTCAACAACTATGTGCAGAAAAAAAAAGAAAAATCATCAGAAAAAAAAGAAATTAGGTTCTAGAAAGGCACCCCACAATGCTTTCTCTAAAACCGATCAGCCCACTACCGAATATATCCAGCTCTGGATACGCTGTGTTCAGTTTGTTGAAATCGCGAAGAATTCGAACGAGAGGTGCCTGAACTACTAGGTTGGTTTTGGCAGATGGAATTTGGAATATATTGTTAATTTTAAACCTAGGGAATGAGTAAGGGACGACAAATTTGATTTCCTGTAAAAGGTCACTGTTCTGTAAATGGTTGTTGAGCAATTTATACAATTTTTTATTTTTTTTTATTCGTGGCGTATATAACGAGCAAGTAGAAACTCGATCTTTTTTTTTATATTATGGCAATAGTTTTCACTTTATGCCAGTTTCAAGTAAAAAAACTCGATCTTCTAGAGACTCGATCTGTACCATAGACTATAGTGAAAAGAATCAAATCACAATTTCTTTGGCGTCGGGACGTGACGACCCCATCGCCCACTGGTGAAATAACCTGTGACAGAGGTTATTTCATCAGCGCAATCAGTTAACCCCTTCCTAGTGGGAGTGCCATGCTGTTGCCTTCGGGCTTCAGCCTAATGGGCAGGCACGACCGGGGCAGTACCACTGTCTCTTAGAAATCCGGCGTGAAGTGAGGCAATAGGTTCGCCTTATTGTACTCGCGTTTCGTACGGTGAGGGAGACTCCCGGAGCCCATCCCCCCCCCATATGAAATATGAAGGTGCAGAACAAACAGAATCTACCCCAGGGGGGTACCACACGCGCTCGCGGTGGAGAATCCCCCTCTGGGCGTCCAACACCGGGACACTCAGCACCCGGTGGTGGACGCACAGGCTGCCCTTCGTATTCTGGGGGGCAATTCTGCGCTCAACAAAAACAGTCATCGTTCTCGGGGCAAACGGAGCAATTCAACAAAGGCACCCCCGTCCACGCTCGCCGTGGACTTCACAAATGTTAGGGGGCTCAATTCCAATATCAACGCAGTCCACTACCATTTAGAGACTGCGAAGCCGGCCTTGCTCTTTCTTACCGAGACTCAGATTTCCTCCCCGGCTGATACTTCCTACCTCTCCTACCCGGGGTACAAATTGGAACATTCATTTGTGCCGCGGGCGGGAGTTTGCGTGTACGTCAGGGAGGATATCTGTTCTCGTCGCCTCGGGACGCTTGAAGGAAGGGACCTATCTAACCTCTGGCTGCGCGTAGACTGCGATGACCATCCGCGATTCTACGCATGCCTGTATAGGTCCCATAGCGGAAATACCGAAACTGACCGACTCATTGAGCACATCCAAATGGCTACAGATTCCCTGCTCGAAAGGGTTCCTACCGCTGAAATCGTGATACTTGGCGATTTTAACGCCCACCATGCCGATTGGCTCGGCTCTGAAACCACCGATCACGCGGGAAGATCCTTTCACGACTTTGCTTTAGCCTACGACCTGACACAAATGGTCCCTGCGATTACGCGAATACCAGATGTGGATGGTCATAAACCCTCTTTGTTGGACCTTCTGCTGACTTCACATCCGGAGAACTATCAAGTCTCTGTTGACCCGCCATTGGGTTCATCGGATCATTGTGTGGTCCGGAGTACTGTGCCATCTACGCGCCCTTCACGGCCCCGCTTTATGGGTTGTCGCCGTATTTGGCACTATAAGTCAGCAGATTGGGACGGGATGCGGTCTTTCTTTGCGTCCTACCCTTGGGGGCCTATGTGCTTTTCGCCGGAAGCTCCAGATTCCGTCGCCGCCTCTGTCGCCGAAGTGGTTCTGCAGGGCATGGAACTCTTTATTCCATTTTCTGCGGTGCCGATCGGTGGCAAGTCTCAGCCCTGGTTTAAACGTTCTTGCAAGGCGGCCTCGCGTCGAAAGCGAGAATGCTTTAAGGCATGGGCGGAAGCGGCGAAATCTCGTGATGCCAATACCAGCGAACTTAAAACAGCATATAACTCAGCCTCCAGGTCCTTCAAACGGGAAATCACTAAGGCAAAGTCAGAACACATTGCCAGATTTGGCGAGAGATTGGCCCAGCTCCCTTCAGGGACTCGAGCCTTCTGGTCTCTCGCCAAAGCTGTCCAAGGGAATTTTTGTCAGCCCGCCATTCCGCCACTGCACAGGGAGGATGACTCTCTGGCCCACACTGCGAAGGAGAAGGCCGACCTTTTGGGCTGTCTCTTCGCGTCCAACTCGACTTTGGATGACCGAGGAAGATCACCACCGACCATTTCGCGGTGTGATTCTTCGATGCCGGAAATCACATTCCGGCAACGTGCTGTCCGCAAAGCACTATCTTCCTTGGACATTCATAAGTCGAGCGGGCCGGATGGTATCCCCCCAATTGTGCTGCGTACTTGTGCTCCTGAGTTGGCTCCGGTCTTAACGCGCCTTTTCCGGTACCTGTACTCGCTCGGCACTGTCCCGAAGTGCTGGAAGACCGCTTCGATACATCCGATCCCTAAAAAAGGCGATCGCTCTGATCCGTCCAACTATCGCCCAATAGCTATAACCTCCTTGTTCTCCAAAATAATGGAAACCATTATTAATTGCCAGCTCTTGTGGTATCTAGAGGGCCACCAGTTGATTAGCGATTCTCAGTACGGCTTTCGTCGTGGTCGCTCAGCTGGTGACCTCCTTGTATACCTTACCCATAGGTGGGCAGAGGCAATTGAGTCCAAGGGGGAGGCGCTGGCGGTAAGTTTGGACATAGCGAAAGCCTTCGATCGGGTGTGGCACAGAGCACTGCTCTCGAAGCTTCCAGCCTATGGGCTTCCCGAGAAATTATGCGATTGGATCTCCAGCTTTCTGGCCGATCGGAGCATCAAGGTCGTCATCGACGGAGCATGTTCCGACCTTAAACCTGTGAACGCTGGGGTCCCACAAGGCTGTGTTCTATCCCCGACCCTATTTCTTCTGCATATCAATGATATGTTGCAACTTAGCAACATTCATTGCTATGCGGATGACAGCACTGGGGATACTTTTTACACTGGCCGGGCAGGTATTTCTCGGGCAGTTGTTGATGAGTACCGGAACAAACTTGTGTCTGAAGTCGAAACTCTACTACGTGGAGTCTCAGACTGGGGCAGACAAAACCTAGTCCAATTTAACCCCAAGAAGACACAAGTTTGCGCGTTTTCCGCTAAAAAAACACCCTTTGTCGCTACTCCTCTTTTCGAAAACACTCTTCTTAAAGCCACAGCCAGCATTGGAATACTTGGCGTTGACATATCGAACGACGTTCAGTTTCGCGGTCACTTGGAGGGAAAGGCTAAATTAGCCTCCAAAAAGCTTGGTGTGCTCAGCAAGGCGAGGCGGTACTTCACTCCGGGCCACCGCATGCAACTATATAAAGCGCAAATTCGGCCCCACATGGAGTACTGCTCTCACCTCTGGGCGGGGGCTCCCCAGTACCAGCTCCTTCCACTTGACCGTATACAACGCAGAGCGGTTCGAATCGTCGACGACCAATCCCTCTCCGAGCGGCTTGATCCTTTGGCGTTGCGTAGAGATGTGGGGTCACTCTGCATCTTCTACCGCATTTACCATGGAGAGTGTTCAGAGGAGTTGTTCGGATTAATACCTGCAGCTGAGTTTCATCATCGGACGTCGAGACAGAATACGAAATTCCACCCGTATCACCTCGACGTCCGCCGTTCCACAACTGAGCGTTTTTCAAGGCAGTTTTTGCCGCGCACCACCACTATGTGGAATCAGCTGCCCACTGAAGTATTTCCGAACCAATTCGACTTAGGGTCCTTCAAGAAAAGAGCGTACCAATTCTTAAAAGGCCGGCAACGCACTCGCGAGCCCTCTGGCATTGAGAGTGTCCATGGGCGGCGGTGTCACTTAACATCAGGTGTGCCTCCTGCCCGTTTGCCCCCGTTCTATAAAAAAAAAGAATCAAATCACAAGTATTTTAATTTTTATTCTATGAATTGTGATTATATTTTAAAATATTTTGTCCAGTCATTACCATTTACCAGAGTACAATAATTGTCTTTCAGATTTTTAATCCTATTCTACAATTTAGTTCAATTGGTGTTCCGAGAGTCAAAAATAGTAAGTGGATTCTTAAAATAAGACGTATCCTCGCGAAGGCTTGAAATTCTGTACCAATTGTCTAACCTAGAATTTTATAGTTAATGTTACTTTGTTTTACAATTTACAGCAAAACAATGTCTGCTACGGCTTTATTCGGTAATACTTCGGGACTTGGTGGTAGTTCAGGAGGTAATAAACATTTAGTCGAATTCCGTGCTGGGAGGATGACACTGAAAGGACGTATGGTACACCCAGACAAGAGGAAAGGGCTTTTATATGTGTACCAAGGAGAGGATTCCTTAATGCACTTCTGTTGGAAAGATCGTTCAACTGGAGAAGTAGAAGATGATCTTTTAATTTTTCCTGATGATTGTGAATTTGTACGAGTTACTGAATGTACAACAGGAAGAGTCTATGTACTTAAATTCAAGTCTTTTGCCAAAAAGTACTTCTTTTGGATGCAGGTATAATATTTTAACTTCATCATTAATAGTAGTAATATTAACTGGTATGTATAAATAGTACTTTTTTATTCAAATATAAAATGTGTATTTATTTCATTAGGAGCCAAAAACTGATAAGGATGATGAATTATGCCGCCGTATTAATGAGGCCTTAAACAACCCACCTACTTCTGGGGGAAGAGGTGGAAGTGGCAGTGGGGCTCAGGATGGAGAGCTTCAGAATTTGCTCAACAACATGTCCCAACAACAGTTGATGCAGTTGTTTGGTGGTGTTGGCCAGATTGGTGGACTGTCGTCATTGCTTGGAACTATGGGGTTTGTTATTAAATTATCATGGTATGCTTGAGATTTAAAAAATATTTTTACATAAGATAGTGGTAATTTCAGAAGTAATCTGTTAATATAATTATACAAATTCCAAAATAAAATCGATGTGCAATTTACAAAGCATGTATTACTTCATAGTTCATAGTATGAGATATCAAAAGTGAATTCTACAATTCTACATAACCATTGGCATAATACTTTTCTCTTAGACAGGATAAAATACTTACCACACTGATGTCTCTTAGTCTACCTTATTGTATTCTAGGTTATTAGAACAACTATATTCCAGATTTAAATGTGGAACCTACTTAGATTACAAGCCCATGGAAAAAATTTACCTGTGAAATGAACCAACGTGAATGAATAACACTTAGAAGGCTCATTTGTACCTGAGAAATTCCATTCACTTACATATTCACCTGTACCGCTCAGATATGACGGCATAGTGCTCAGAGTTATTTTCTGATATAGTAACAGCCTTCCAAACATTATTCACATTGGTTTATTTCACAGGTAAATTTTTTTCATGGGCTTGTAGTCTAAATTGACTTATGTTCTAAATATATAAAATAGTTCTAATATGATAAATCTGTTTTAAAACATTTTAACCATTTGCCTATAAGATTCTGTTTTTACTGTTCTAAGAAAAAATATCAGAAGACTAATGAAGACATCTACAGTGTACAAATAGATAGATGAAGAAACCGACTCAGTTTCCTCAAAAATAAAATCAAATTTAATTACAGATTGAAATAGCTCTATATCTTGACTACTAATCTACTGTTTCAAGTTATGTGATAACCTAGAGTTAAATATTACAAGATATCATAATAGATGGAAAGGATCTTGGAATGGTATTTAGTTACAGAGTTTTTCTTGACAATCAATCAATTGAATGCCTTAAATAAATTTGAACATTGCAGGAATAATAGCAGCAGCAACAGTGGCAACTCAAGCAGCCGTCCAACTACTGGAAGCAACAGTAGCTCTCGTGGGGGTAGTGCCCCGCGGACAACTGCTACTACGGAAGCACCTGCTGCTAGGACTCCAGCCCGAGCAAGAGATGTACCTGCTCCAACTGCCACACCACCCAATACTGCTACTGCCACTCAGCCACAAAGTAAATTTATAAACATATACATTATACATACTACTTCAAGATTTTGTCAGTATAGCTACAATACATTTGTATTGTCTAATTTAATTTGTATGATAATGGCGCTTCATCACCAACAACGCAACATCAGCTTCATATAATATCTAAATGAAACTTTATAGCTGCAGAGATAAATGTTTACTTATATAGAACAACCTATAGCTCTTATGACAATATAAAATAAAAGTTACTTAAAAAATCATCATTTAACCATGAAAATTATTGATTGACATTATTATTTCATAATCAGTATTTATGTTCTATGATTGCTGTGGCAGTGATTTAGCATGGTAAATGGACACAATAGATTCTCATCTATTACAGTTAATTGTTGCATTGTTTTTTCTAATAAGGTGCATAAATTGATTAGACTGGATTTAGCTGCTTATATATATTATAAATCTGAGCGTCTGAGAATCTTTATTTATATCTTAACCGCATATAATCTACAAATTATTGTTTTTTGTTAAAAATGTGATTTGAGATATTCCTTACTAACAATATGTCTTGAGATCTTCATTCATTCATTTTCCAGGGGACCATAGTAACGAAAATGGAATATGTGGAATTAGAAAGAACTTGTTGAATTAAAAAATCCTTTCTAATATTTAATTAATTATTCCTTTATTTATTAATTATTACTATTACTTTACTTAACTAAACACAAATTATTAATAAAACACAGTGGTGATAGAGATTAATATCTAACTCTAACACCAATGTCAAAAGTGCGCATTTAATAATTAATAATTTTATTCAGAATAAAAATTATAAATATTTTAAGGTGGTCAAGTGTTCCTATCGGACTTGCAACGCTACTTCTCCGGTGTAGGCACCGCGCCAGAGGGCGAAGCCGCCGGCTCGGGCGCCGCGCGGGTGGACCTGGCAGCTGCCCTAAGTACACCTGAAGTGGTGACATCGGCCAGTGAGCCGAACAACGCGCAACGCCTCGCGCCTCATTTGCCTCAGACAGTGCCACAGGACGATGTAAGGACCACCCTGCTCTCACCGCAATTCGCTCAGGTGAAACCCCACGTGTTGCGATCCCGCCCTAACAGGCCAAACGCTTGAGCGCTACACGCATGCCTCGGGGTCGGCCTTCACCTGCTTTAACCTGCTTTGATGATATTGTTTAATAAGAAAAAAATACACTTGTAACTTTGGACTTAAAAATAATTAATTATTTATTGATTAAGGTGATTACAGATTTACGGACATATTTCAAAACGTGAATCATGCTTGAATGTAGGTTTGAGACCTGTTAATCCATTTTTATGTTATATTTTCGACGAGAAAAGTCGATTGTTACTTCAAAATCATAACGTAATGTGGGCTTAAAATATTATAAAACCTTATATCATCAAATGAGATTACAGCATATCCATTTGCTAAGTCCTTGTTTTCATTTTGTTGTGCATGCCCTGTGTTACTCCTTCCATTTCTAATTATTTAACTGGATCTCGGCCAATGTTTAAAAGGGAAGTACGTTTTTTTATGATGGTTATTGCATGTTTTTTGTTTTTTCAAAGGTAATATTAATAATACAGATTTGCTACAGAGATAATTAAAACTCATTTTGCTTGTATACCTTGATGTTAAAACTTTCGTTTAATAGAAGTCGGGTGTGTATTTCATAGTGAAGTACATATATATATATATATATATATATATATATATTTTACAGGCTGCTAATCAATTTTCGTCGGCGCTTTCTTCTGGACAAATGGGACCGGTTATTTCTCAGTTTGGTTTGCCGTCTGAAGTGACATCTGCGGCAAATACTGGTGACGTGCAAGCTTTCTTCAAGGCTCTCGAAAATTCCTCTAATTCGGATAGTGCCAAGAGTCAAGAAGATGATAAAAAGAAGGACAAGCCGCAAGACAAGAATGATAAGAAGGACGGCGATGCTGGCATGTCATTAGACTAATTCAATATTATATTTTTTATCATGACTATTGTATTGTGTCATTATTTTGAATTATCTATTTGTATTTAGGGCGCCATGTCGTACTTTTAAATACGTTTGAAGTATGTTCTTTAATAAATTGTATGTCTAATTTATTATTTCCTTTCACAACGCGCTATTCGACCTCAATGTACCCAATGTATTATGTAGTGTGACAAAAATATTAGAAGCCCAAATAAATAAAAAATCGAAAAACCTTAATAAAGCGAAAGAAAACTGGCCGTTATTTAAAAAATAGTTAAATAAAGTGTGGAGTGATGGTGGTTAGGTACCGCAGTGACGCCGCGGGGCGGGGAGCGCTGGGGAATCCTGGCGCCAGACTGGCATAGCCGTCTGTCCCCGCGCGCCGCGCACCGACCCACTCGAAATAGATGCGGTGATTTACGCCTCCGATGTATGAGTAAATACTAAATATGCTCGCTCGCCTGCCTTGGCATGTCCGCCCGCCCGCGCACCCCGCGACCCTCTCTCCCCTCGCGATTGTAGAACGCGAAGTAGGTAGTTATCACGAAACGCGACCACGTCCAATATTTTGCACGCGTGCTGAATGACGTAGCGAATATTTTACATTCAGAGAGAAACGGCATCGGTCGCTCTCAAGGTGATCTCTGTTAATTCTCCTATAATGACTGCTGTTAATGGACTCGGATAGAGGCATTAACTCAATTTGCTAACTGGTAATATTGGATAATAATAGATCTACTTAGCTCAAGTTGATATTATTCAGTTGAAGTAGGTTTCTTAGTTTATAATGTCAAACAAAATCAGCTTTAAAAAGAATGTTTGTGACGTACCTATTTAAATTTAACATTCAATTTATTTAGTACAAATATGTCGACGTATACCATACAGCTAACATTGTTTATTTTACAATTGTTAAAATTTTAGTATTTATTAATATTTTGTTGAATTCAATTTATCACTTGTCCCATATCTCAAAATATCTTTGTTAGTATCTATTTTATGATAAAGCCTATATATCTTAAGGATAAGGCGTTCCAAAGATATAAAGATTGGTATATTTTAAATAAAAGCTTGACATGCTTATATAGCTTTAAACGGAAAAATATGTATTATGCGGCGAGATGGTTCATTAGAACCGCGAGAGTAGAAAAGAAAGGAAACAAAAAGTAGATACCGCCTGGCGACCGGTCTCTCTGGTTCTTGTATTGCATCGGTTGCCCTTTCCTCTTCCATTCATTATATTACAATTTTGAATTAAAGCTGCCCTACGTGTACTTAAATGAAAGCTCCAACTTAGAAGAAAAAACGCTTTATCAAATTATCTCGCGTTATCACAACTATAATATAATTGTATTGAATATACACAATAAAACTAGCTCTTATGAAATATGTACTTATAATGGAGTTCATTGTTGGAGATACAGCTTAAACGAATAAAATAATATAAATCTTAGTATGATTTTTCAATCGCTATTGAAAAATTATACCATATAAGGTAAGAATAATATCGTAAGTATAATTATCACGGTGTGATAAGTACATAAAAAAATCTTATCATAATAATTAACATCACTTCAAATATCAAACGGTATAAAAATAATTGTTATCACAAATATATCAAATTATTATTTTGATTAATTTGGGGCATTTGATTTTAAAAACTTATGGCTTAAACCTAATAATATAATGCGAAGTAAAACCAAAGATAGGTAAAAATATGATTATAATGTTATACTTACTCTTTCGTCTCTTTTTATCAACAGTGTGTACGCTATGATGAAAAGAGACAGTTTAATCATATTATGAATAAGATAATAATAATACACTCTATGTCTCTGTGAAAATGTCTTTACGCCGCAATCAAATTATATAATAGCTCAGTGTATTAGTTAAGATAATAATAAATCAGTGGCGCTACAACCTCTAGGTCTTGGCCTCAGATTCCTGAATCTGTTGCTGATCACCTACTTGCCTGTTAGATTTAAATATGTTGAATCTAACAGGCAAGTAGGTGATCAGCCTCCAGTGCCTGACACACGCCGTCGACTTTTTGGGTCTAAGGCAAGCCGGTTTCCTCACGATGCTTTCCTTCACAGTTCGAGCAAATGTTAAATGCGCACATAGGAAGAAAGTCCATTGGTGCACAGCCGGGGATAGAACCCACTAGGCCAACACTGCTCTTAGTTAAAATACTGTACTAAAATTAACTTTTCTGTTCCTAAACCTCTATAATATTAATTATGCTGATATAATACTGTTTTAAAGAAACTTCGTTAAATATATGCGATTGAATACTTAATAAACATTAGTCAACTACCTACTTACTACACAATTTATTTTTTGCGTTTCGCTTAATGCGAACACTTTTTCGCAAGACTAATATTATGCAGCGATTTTGCTATGTACGTTTTATTAAAAAAACGGTAGAAGTGTTTTATTACAATTTACAATGAACAAATAAACTTGTTACTCTATTGAAACCTTTGGCTTTCTTATAAAATAATGTAATATTTAGATCATCAAACTGGTTGTCAGTGATACTTTTAAGTAGATTCTGTACTAGAATGTCATTATCAGATATAGCTATCATATAAGCATAATCCAAACATTCTGGCAAAGAACATAATTACAGGTGCAGGTGCTAACGGGTGCACCAGATAAGGCAGTGTTCTATAAATAAAGAAAGAAATTATTTTATTGCAATCATTAATATTTTTATGACTAATTGTAATGTGAAAAAAAAACCAGATTGATTGCAAGTTGTATTTAGCTTACGAGAAGCTTACTTGACCTACCACTATTAGTTTAATTTAATTCTTCTATATCGTGAATTGTAAACGTATTGCTAAATTTTTAAAAACCTTGTATCACGTTGTTTAAAGTTGTACTCCCCAGGTACCTAATTGTCACAGGGATAACTTCACCAGTTACCACTAAGCTAATACATATAACTTTAATTATAGTCAAGCTGTTTGTTAGTGAATTACAGCAATTAATTAACGTAGTGCATTTAACACATTGATGGACGTCTGCAGTTATTTTTTATTTAACAGTTAGGATAAAATATGTTATGTATTTGTTTGTACTTACAACAGAAAGGTCATAGAGAACACAATAGAGGGTGCCCCTTATTGAATATTGAATTATTCTCGACCACATCAAGGCATTTATTCGGCCGCTGTCGTTCAAGATAATACTTTAAAATTTTACGCAACCTAATGACCGTTAAACATTTAACAAAAATAATAACCTGATTATGATTAGAAGTTGGAATATGTTACCTATAGGTACACTCTATTCGAAGGTGATGTGTTGATGGACTAGTTTATTATTGAAATTATATCTAAGTTATTTGATGAATAATTATTTAAATATAAAATAAATGTTATTTTTGACCATGTCGCCAAAAAAATTACTTGTTGATCGCAGTGTCAAATGTTTTCTGTAATAAGAATCGTTGGTATTGTATTTAATAAATAGTAATCATTATGGCAGATTCCATTACAACGCTAATGTATGCTAGGTGTGGAACCTTTGACCGTGTGACGTAAGGCATCGTATGACGAAGCTGAGTCTGTATAAATGGTACCTTATTATCGAAAGAATAATACCAAGCAACGAGTTATTTATTAGAAACGAAGCGGGTTCTCGGAAATACAGGGACGGTAAACGTGAAAAAGTTGGTAACTTGACGCGGCGGGTGGAGGAGCGGGGAGGGGAACGGCGATCCCTATAATCTTTAACTATGGCGCGTGCTGGGCCTTTCCAAGAATCATGTAACAAACAGGATCGACAAAGCCAATAGCCGGATTTTAACAGAAATTTCTATTGAAATCATTTTAGTGGCTACCTGACGATGTTAAAGCAATTAATATTTTAGATGTTATTAGCTTAAATGAAATCTTTAGTGTCCATGCAGACCTTAGTGCGTGGTATATATATAGTATATCTATACCACCCAGTACGCACTAAGGCTCGATCGTAGCTCTGTTTCTATAGCAATGAAATGTTACGTAATAGTAGCTGTTGCAAATTAAATAATAGCTGCGTGGCACAAACGCTCGTGTACTTGGTGTAAGTTTCTCCCTCCTATATAAGCTGAAATCTAATGTTATGATATGTCAAGACCTCATAAAATAGTGATATATACAATAAACCGTACTACTAAACTCTTGTTTTGTTTATTTTTAATATTGTTATTATCTAGTAAGCAGATGGGGCGTCATGAAACTCAAATAAAATAGTATATTGTTATGAAAACTCGGAAGCAGGAACAACACCTAAGATCGAGTTCTGGCGAAAGGCCAAGTTATGTTCTGCTGGTTCTTGTCACTCTACCATATTCTGCAACCGAGGTGATGTAAGGAACGCCAAATTCAAATTTATTTTAAGAACACACCAATCTGGCTTGAATTAGAATTGCGAAGTACTATGTTATTTGGTATATTTAATAGTTGTAGTTTAGACCAAATTCTAGCGGACTGCGAAAAGAATGTGACATTGTAGAATTTGTTTATATTCGGGTTAATCATACCTCTAGTAGGTATGAACGAAATAACGTAACTTTTTTAAGATGTTTATTTTTCAAGTTATAGGCCGTTAGAGCTTGAAGTGACTTAAACGCTGACGCAAAATGATACAGCTGCCATAAACTAGTATGTAAAGTCAAACTCTGTACATTAATTCACCAAAACCAACATAATATACAAAAAAGGCTTAAGCTGGAAAAATAATTTATCATTATTAAATTTTTTATTTAATCTACAAACACCCAACAATCTCTGATGAATAGTCACATTTATTTGGTCAAGTGTTCGCTGACTCATCAATATTATTGTCACAATCGCACATTTGGCAGATGTTTTTTAAACGTCACCAGAAATTTGCAGAGATGACGCTATTTTCTTTAGACAAGTAAATTATTTCAGGGGAGCCCAAAATATTATTTCTTCAATTTCAATACGTAGGTATATTACATATGAGAAAGTGCAGGTCAGTAATTTATTGAGTTTTGAAACCTTACCGTTTTTGTCGCACTCTTCTCTAGTTTCGATCAATCAATCGTTTTTGAGCGTGTTAAGTAGTCAAGTTATAGTAAGCGTCGATTAGGTAAGTTCCTAGTTTCAAGATCTATTAAAGTGTTATTTATGTATAGAATGTAATTGATTTCAGATACATAATAAACGTCAGACCAAGCGCGACCGTGTCACCAACACGTCAAAATAGCGGTAGAGTTAGTCAGACTTTGACTCGTGTTTTCTAGGGAAGCTCCTATAGTAGAAAAGTACGTACTGAACCAATCCCTTATAATTTGTATTTTTTATTACGTTCTTACCTTTCTTTACAGTTAAATGTATTCGTTATAAATTGAATATAAATCTTAAATAGAAGGAGAGACAGAGTGTGAGCAAATATTGTCTTTATTTCATCGCTTGCCAGTTGCCGCCAAGACGGGTTTCCCGCCCACGCGACTTCATGGCGCCGACCGGACCAACACATTTACTCAATAGCTGTTTCAAATGGTACATTGCTAATTCTATTGAAGAATCTTCCGTTTTATTATTTCATAATGGTTTATATTTTGAATTATACAAGTTGCTGGTGGAAAAATAATCGCGGACATTAAAAGTACAAATTAATATACTACCAAAAAATCGTAAACGTTCCCAATGGCGCGTGGCCCAAGGCCGTGTTGTGACGTCACCAGCGGCAACAAGCGAGAACGCCAACGAAACAGCGCAACAAGTGCCTCGCAGAGAGCGCCCCCGCACAACATACCTTTGCAATCTACAGCTGCGTGATAGCTATAGGTTAATACTTTCAGATTGTGATTCTGCACGACAAGTGAACACGGGCATACGCACTATGTACCCATAATTTGACCTCAAAAGGCTATTCAGCTCGCAAGCTAAAAAAATATCTATTGTAATAGGTATACGCAAAAAATAAAAATATAAAATAGTTGACTCAGAGGAAATTTCGAATTATATTTTTTAAGAAAGCTGGATATTTCGAAATGAATATGTATAAAGTGACACATAAAAATACTACTACTATATACCTACTATTATATATAATACATAATAAAATTATAATATCACACATTTTATGAGCAAAAATCGAGCGACGGCGTGCTATCAGCGAAGAGCGTGCGTCATAGCCACCGCACGACTGATAAGCGCGTATAATAATTATCATTGCAAATAATAATGTTCAAACATTCATATTATCTTATATGCGGAGCGAGGAGTTTCTCCACTGTATGAACATGTTATTCACTAAATTAATAGATTATTAAACGGAATGACGCGAACTTATTTGTCTTTCAACGAATTAATTGTAGGTATGTCCATAAATGAATTTGATAAAGAGGTCTGCAGAGATATTAGAGTTCAAGAGATAAGTTAAATATAGGAAAATACCAATTAAATATCCTAAAGTTATAATAAACAAGATTTAGGTATCGTAAAATTAAATCGCTAACCTATTCTATATGGTTATGGATGTACGGTAGGTTTTGTACCTAATAAGAAAGAAGAGAAATATTTAATACGAAAATAATTACACGACGTTCTATAAACCACCTTATTCTCTTTTTTAAGTCAGTTAAAACATGACTAACGTAAAGTAATTTAAACTCTTACACTTACTGCTAGAAATCAATCTTAGCTAAAACGAAACGGTTCCTCTAATTACGTTTCCCAGAATTTGAGATTTTTATTGACATTTGACAATCCTTGTTGAATGATAAAATAATATCTACAACTGCACAGAGTGTAAAGTCCGCGCATATTCACCTATATCATAATATTACGTGTACCTAAATAATTTACAAAGAGCGACCGATCCGGTTGTTGTGAAGGAATGAGATAGATACAACGCGCCATGAATCACTTCTCACAAGTCACAACGGGCGCAACTCGCAGCCGTAGAGGTGGAGGCGTGCGGGCGTCGAGGGGAACGGATTGTACTGTCGACAGTCGAACGGAACGAAACGAACTAACGACAAAGTACAACTAAAAACAGTTGAACAGTCAACCGCGGCGCGGTAACTTGCGTCGCTCGTTTCTGGAATGCACTTTCATCCGATACAATCACAAATAATATTATTTGGTAAAGCAGAGTAACCTTAGTTAACGAAAAAGAGAGAGGTTCGCCGATCATAGTGCTAGTGTAACGCGTGTGACAACGTAAAGGTGTGCATAAGTGTGTGGTGGCGTGGATCGCGCAATTATTAACGATGATTCACTTGTGCGCGGGTGAAATGCAGCCTATCGGACTTGTTGACATATGTTTAGGAGGCGTAAACAAATGATATCAAATTCAATAGAATAATATAATGGTGGACTGATTCATTACTCCGCGGCAGGTGAGGTTTTTAGTATTTCTATAACTTAATGTATTGGAAAATGAATATATTCTGCTTTCCAAAGAGTTTATGCTTGTCGCTATAATATTTCTTATGATAGATGTTCGATCGATTGTTCCAAGGTTCCTATATTTTGAACACATGAATTTAATTAAACACCTACATTCTATTTTGGCAATATTGGATATACCTACATAATATAAGTGATATAGAATGGCGATAGTTCGGGAATCTTATTTTATACATTCTGTACGATAAGATACGTATGACGACGTATGACTAGATAAAAATAAAATTCTTACCTAGTCATGAATGGATTCTTTATTTAATTTAAATTAAAATCGTTGAGGTTATTCATTCGCGAAAAAAGCATTAGTTATCAATTTAATAACGATTCAGTACAGTCCACTTCATTGCCAAATGTTATCAGATGATAACATACATTTACATAATGCCTTATTCGAGTGTTTAGTGTTGCATGTCAAAGAGTATATTATATACTGTATAATAAGAGATAGGTAGGTATTATGGCGGCGTGCTGGCGGCAATCAGGGAGCACAGGCGTCACCAGGGTCGGCTGGCCTGGCGCCAGGCCGGCGGGAAGCTGTTGCTCGCTGGGATTCCTTTGTCTATTAAATCTACATATACAAATACTTAAGTGAAACACATTAGAAACACAAGATTGATAACAGATTAATTCGTAATAATAAGTCTGAATATAGTTAGTAACTTTAAAATGATATCAAATTAATTAGCCTTCATGCAAAGTTACTTAATCGGCCAAATGTAAATATTGGTGTAATATAATTTAATTCTAAATAAGTATACGGATGGTACGATGTACACGAAGGAACAGCCATTTACCTTAGTGTGCGTATTACGCCTATTTGCTCGCTCATTTATACTAGTGGAGCGGCTTGCTTGTCTCCGGTTCTCAGAAATTGTAACGCCTTCTTAGAACGCAGTAAACGCAGCCGTCCACAAATGCCTCGAGTGAGCGAAGCGAGGTCGCCATTCGCACAACAACATGTATCGTCATTACGTCTAGATACACACACACATTGAAAGAGTATTTTAACATTCTCATCTCGCTCATTCTTATTACACTTGGATACTTGTATAATGTATTGAACTAGATTAAAGAGATTTGTAAAAATAAAACAATAAGTATAAATTTAAAGGCAATTTGCAGTTGCACTTAAAACTTTAGAAATAGAAGTTAGAATATTCGAATAGGTTTTTAAAATACTTCCGATTTCATGTTAATTATTTTATTAGTGCCTTTTCAATCTTAAAGAATTTATAGATATCTATTAGTCCGTGAAAGCGACATACAATAAGCGGACTTGCGTAATGCGTATTGTAGAGGCTGGGGATATCCTCGTCCGCTAGCGCGTTCGTACCTACCTACGTCACGATGATGTCACATGGTACATTAATAGATTCAACAGTACCGCACATGCGCAATGTGACTACTCTTTCACACAACACTTTGTTTGATAGTTTTGAAAATAATAATGTTATATCGAGAGAGTACTATATAGTTTTGTGTTTACTTATAAAGTAGATTTACTAAAGCATTTTGGACAATATTATTTAATTTGTTTACTGGCTATCAGTAGCTCCGTAGTTATTAGTTGATATTCTAAATATAACGAATAAACCTTGCTATTTCCTTCATTCCAGGTTTTCAAGTCGCGGTAACAATGCCGTTGACACAAGAAAAACGTCTGGATAATTTTTCAAACAACAATGATCAAAGCTATCTCCATAAGAAGTTCAAAAAAATGGCATCGACCATTTCAGTGCTTCCAGCCAACTCACAAAAATGTGACGAAAACGTCCAAAGGGACACTAGCTCCGTGCAATCTGTTAGTAATACTTCAATAACTAATGGAAGTATCGCAGCTGCTCATCCAGAAATTGAGAAAATTAAGGAAAACTACGATAGCAAAAACGCAAAAGTCGATAACTATGTACAAATTAATTATAACAATGAAAACAGTAGGTTAAATGATGTAAATAATATAATTTTTACTGGTAAAACCAGTTTTTCTGATGAATTTTTAAAAAAGACTGAGAACTATGAAATTGATACAAACAGAGATGGGTATAGTGGAGGGGTGGGGCGATATGTATGTCCATATTGTAAACTTCCATGTGCCAAACCTTCTGTTTTGCAAAAACATATCAGAGCTCATACAAATGAAAGACCTTATCCTTGTGTTCCATGTGGTTTCGCTTTTAAGACAAAATCCAATTTATATAAACATAGAAGATCAAGAACTCACGCATTGCGTTCGCAAGGGGCAGATATCAATGCTTCAATCAATGATGAAGATTTGTCTGGTGGTTCTGAAAGTGATACATCCGTAACTCCTGCTTCGATTTCTGATACAGGATCTGATGCTTCACTTCTTCGGGTTGAACATTCAAGGCCTAATGAATTCTCCTCTCCAGAATTAACAAATGACATTACTGCAAATCATCCTTTTAATAACGATAATAAATCTAAGACAATCTATAAGCCTAAGTTTAGAGCTGCTTTTTATCAAGGAAACGAAGAAAAAGATAAGATAAAGAAAAATATTACCACGAATGCCGATTTTCTAACTGAACATATCTCAAAGATAATATCAGATAACGAGGCCATTGTTGATGTTATAGAAACACCTTTACAAAAAAAATATAACAAAATTAAACAAATAGCAGAAAGTAAACAATTTTTTAATGAAAGAGATATTAAGCAAGAGGTAACACCTTTAAATCTAACTAAAAACACATACGAGTCTGAAAATCAATCTAGAAAACGGTCACATTCAGAAAGCTTTGCAGGAGAAGACACAAAGCACCCTCTAAATCCTGAGGGTTCTATAATAAAAGATCTATTGTTAAAAACAAAGGCAAATGGCATTTGTTCCTTACTGGGCGAATTGGAAGATGGCGTCGGACCGCTATTTATTTGTCCATTATGTCAAATAATGTATCGCAGTGCCGATAATTTGGAGATACATCGCTTATATTATTGTAAAGGAAACTCGTCAAATAATACTTCAGGCAATTCCATCATAAATAGGGGAACAAAATGTGTGCGGTCTGAAAATGTTTTTTTGAGAAGTAACTCTATTAATGTTCGATTATCCGAAAGCCAAAACCAATCTTCTGAAAATAATCGTACCAGCAATTCGCCATCCTTAAAAAATAAACCAGATAATCTAATTATCCTCAAACCGGAACATGATGTGATTGCACCATTGCCATCTCCAGGACCACTTTTGGGGAATACTCGACTAGTTGATACTCGTCTACCCGTTGAATTGAATAGAAATAAAGAGCATATTAGAATAAATGGTAAAGACCATAGCCCAAGAAGAAGAGTGGATAGTAGATCTGATTCTTACAGTCCTCGGTTAATGGATAATGTTTCTCCACGTTCCGTCGATTTATACTCACAAACAAAGATAAGATGCATTGATAATAATTCAACAATATTACGGTCTATGGACGAATTACAAATGAGGCATAACTCAACTTCCTTGCAAATGTTTGGTGGGGAGGTAAAGATTGTTGATCACTCCGGTAGTACAACGACTTTACGCATTGAACCCAGTAAAAATCAACTTTCTCCAATTATGATTCAACAAAATCTATCACCTTCAAAATTTTTGTCTGACTCTGAAGCCAGTAGTGTTGTTGTAAGATCAGGTCTCCATTCAGGTGGTACTATTGTACATAATCCACCTACTCCAAAAGAGAACATTAATATTAATACACCCCAAACACCGAGGATGTCAGTTGCTACGTCAAATATCCAAAATTCCGGTATGGTAAATATCCACGACATAACACACTTTCAGTTTCCCCCACTAAGTGCTATTACTGCCTATAATCCACTTACATTACCTCCTTTAAGCCCTACATCATCGCCAAGTGGTGCGACCTCGATATTACACGGAGGAAAGATAATTCCCCATGTCCCAGGAATACCTGGACCAAATACTACAGGTATTTATGTTGGGAATACTAGTGGCAGTCTCGTTAAATCAGTAGATATGTATAAAAGTGTAAAAGTAAGCGAAGGGACAGATGTACATCGCACAGCAGGTAAAACACTAAGTCTATCCTTTGATAAAGACTATAATCCAAGAAATAGTAAATTTTTACCGATGACAGATATGGGGATATACGAGCGTGTTAAAGAAGTCCAAAAGAATAATGCTCCTTTGATAACTGTAAAAAATGTTGATGACCCTAATTTGTTATCCAAGAAGTATACTCCTAGCTACCGAACAGCAATATCCAAGCAAGAAAGTCATCTAAAACGGAACGCAGAAGGTATAAGCAAAACGATAATTTCTAAAGAAAATAGCAATTACCCAGGAGCCAAATACAAAAACAAAGAAATTATTAATTTAAACAAAAATAACATAAAACAAGCAGAAAGTGAAATTAAATCATTTAATTTCGAAAATCTTATAACAAAAGCAGAAATATATAATAATCAAATTCAAAGTTCATCGGAAGTACAAAAAAATGCAAATGCTCAAGATTCGTTGCAGACTACTCATAATGACAGATCCGAAAAATCTTATTTCCAGAAGAACCTAGGTGTTACATCAGGATCTGAAGACAGAAAACCTAAGTTTTTAAGACCATCTTCATTGCCCTTAAAACCAGGCACGTTTACACCTAAAAGGCACCATGGCATAACTCCAAATGCAAATACAATGCCATTAGTATCTCCAGAAACACCACGGCCCGCTAAGGCATATGGCCAGTTATATTTAAACGGAAATGCCTACACATACCTAGGGCTTAAATGTTCGGCAAAAGTATTTTACTGTACTATTAATCGGCCGCAACCAACATACGTCCCGAATCAACATTTTCTTTCTATGTACAGTAATTGGCAGGTAATTATTATTCCTTACATGTGTATATTAGTATATTAAGGTGCAATGTATTTACAGTTTTGCTTGTTTGTTTACAGTTATTATCTGAGCTGACAGCGGACCCGTTGGGATTGTCAGCATCGTCTGCTATGTCTTTATATGACTCACGCCATCGACCGCAAACCGTAACCGTCGCTGTGATTAAGCAGGATCTGATATTGACTCATTCATCACAGTGGAATAAAATTTTTAAAGACAAACAGGTATAATATACCATTTTTATAATGTCAATTTTATTATACAATCTGATCCTACTTAATTTCCGCGATCAAAATCTGAAGGGTGAACATGGAAATGTCATTTTGTTTGGCAACAATATAAACAGGACTTTTGATTGTGATTGGAGTGAAAGGACGGATTGGCTTTATTTACCAATCAATGTCACACCATCTTTTGGTTTTCGTTTTACATTCTCACCCCTATGGCTTTTTTGACGATTAAAGATTTTAAATGACAATTTTCCCAATGACCTACACTACTACGTTAATCTCTTTTAACAAAAAAAAATATTATTCGTAGCTCTGACCAGAAGCCACGACCGAGTTAAATATTCAAAGTACCTTGTGTGTGTTATGTTTTTTAAGGGAAATAATGACAGAAAAAATATGTTCCATATCCAAAAATCCAGTCGTTATTGCTACCAATGTTCTAATAGCAGAACATACAAAGAAACCTCAAGAAATGAACTTCAGACAGTATCTAAGATTTCATTTATTTACAGACCATGGCATCTATTGATATGAAAAAGGAAGATAACAAAGCAAATATGGCAGATGGAGCTATAGCACATAAAAAAGAGTTAGCTGGAGGATTTGAAAGTAATGAAGAGTATACATATGTTCGGGGTCGAGGCAGAGGGCGCTATGTTTGTTTGGAATGTGGGATTAGGTGTAAAAAGCCATCTATGTTGAAGAAACATATTCGTACTCATACCGATGTTCGACCATATACATGTATACATTGTGTTTTTAGGTTAGTTTGAAAAAATAATCTAACTTAAAAAAATATGTACATACATTTAAAGAACTGGAATATATTAATACCAACATTTTTTATTGCAGTTTCAAAACAAAGGGAAATTTAACCAAACATATGAAGAGTAAAGCTCACTACAAGAAATGTTGTGAATTGGGAATAAATCCTAACGAAGGAAATGACTCTGAAGGAATTGAAATGCATCCTTGTCCTGAAGAAACAGACGATGAATCTGAGTCCGAAGGCGATGACGGCAATGAAGGCGAAACGGAGTCAAGTGGTAAATAATATTTGTCTTTTTTATATTTAGACCTTAAAGCGTATTTAACGCAAAATAAACTTTAAATCAAAATTCCAATTAATAGGTTTATATACTAAATAATATATCAGAGGGAATGTGTGTAGGGTGTGGATGTGTATTTGTGTGTGTAGTTGAAGCATGAATGTAATGCTTGATTAAGTGACCATTATTGATTACAAATTAGCAAACTGCAATATTCTACCGTTATCAAACAGCTCCTTTATTAGGGTACCAATATTAGTTACTTTTTTATAACGATTAAACTAAATTTAATGTCAGATTACAGCAGTGACAAACAATTAGTTATGAGTTTGGTTGAGAATCGCCAGGGATTTATCGCTAGGCGATAATTTCCTGCTTCTGTTTACACATCGACATTTTAGTAAGAAGATTCTTACTTACGAGAAACTCGACTAGTATAAACACGATCTCGTATGACATTTTTTTATGTTCATGCGAATATCGTACAAATCGGTTTGATCCGTTTTGAGTGCGAGATGTTTCATTCGAGTTTAGTAGGGTATTGTTCTCAAAAATGTAACAAAAATCCTTTTAATTTTGGGGCTGCCGATAATATTAAGTTAATTGAACTTTATAGAAGTTACGAATGTTTGTGGAACACGGAAAAAGAAAATTATAAAAACCCATTTTTTAACACAAAATCTTTTTTTCCGTTTCCGTTTAATTAATTCTTGTACTAATAATTAAAACACCCTGAAGCACTGCACTAATGGTAGCAACTGCCACAAAACCTCGCAAATCTCAAAAGCAAAAATACGATTATTGCTTTTGAAATTCTGTTTACACGGACACAATAAACTTTCCATTGCGAGGCAATTCTCGCCAAAGTGGAAGAGCGAGAGGTGTGAATGTTTAGACGAAGAAACTTTTTATATATTCTTTCGATAATCGTACATTCGAGACGAGAAACTCTCTCCATCTAAAATGGGCCTTAATACTGGGTAGCGAAGAATCACATGATATTATATGTTATTTATTCGTAATTTGAAATGTAATTTTTTTGTTTAAAGATACGGAGTTCTACAAATCTCGATTACCGGAGCATGAAGCTGCACATTGCTTATTGTCTTTGGGAGGTAATCGCCTTGCTGCCACAACAACAACACCTGGTCTTATCACAAGTGCGAGACCATCCACTTATCCGTACTCACCAATTATGTCTGATAATGCAGTTTTTGATTATCACACAGACACCATACAAGAAACTAAAAACGCAAATGTTGAATCAAGATTAGAAAATGATAACAATGAACCAATGGATCTTAGTAAGACAGATTCAAGTACAGCATCAAATATGATGGAAATTCCAACAGCTAGAGAATCAAGTGTCTTAGCATCATTGGCTTCCAATACTGCAAAATTACCTCAGCATCAAAGTCAGTGGGTAAATGGAGAGCCTATGCTACACACATACCTAACAGAACGAGCACTTTTGGATTCAAAAATAAAACAAAGCCAATTAGCCAGTAACTCAAGTAAAACAAGAAAAATTGAAATAGACAAATCAATGTTTAATGAAAGAAATGACACTAAAGAATGTCATCACCCAATTAGTGATATAGATAGTAAGGCTGATATAAGTAAGAATGTTACTTCTCATGACATTCAAAATAAAATTGTAAATGGTATGTCAAAGGGTGAAATTATGGACAGGGACTCTAATTTGCTTAGTAATGGCCTTGGAGATCCTAAACGAGATCGGATATCCAGTAACTCTAATTCTGAAAATGCGAAACAAGTGGTTTCTGAATATATTAAACATGCTAGAATAAGCATGATGAAAAGCCATGATGAATCAAGTGGACATGAAAATCTAAGTGATGAAAGCAACAGTAGCAAAATAAATGTTGAAGATAAAACCAAAATAGAAGAGGTTTCAGTAGATGGAGAGGTAATAAAACAAACTGGAGAGGATTCCATGACTTCCAATATTGTAATAGGTGGAGTATCTTTTAAAGTTAACAAAGATAAAGAGTTTGATTCATCCATGCCCTTTTCCCCCAGCAAGCTTATGGATGACGGTCGTAGAGTTTGTGACTTTTGTAATAAGACCTTTACAAAGCCTTCGCAACTGAAACTACACCTTAATATACACTACATGGAAAGGCCATTCCGATGTAGTGTATGTGCGGTCAGTTTTCGTACAAAAGGGCACTTACAGAAACATGAAAGATCTGGTTCACATCATAACAAAGTTTCAATGACATCTACTTTTGGAGCAGCAACATCTTTTAATCCAAGACCATTCCGCTGTTCAGATTGCAATATAGCCTTTAGAATACATGGGCATCTAGCAAAACATCTACGTAGTAAAATGCATGTTATGCGGTTAGAATGTCTTTTTAAATTACCATTTGGAACATTCACGGAAATAGAGCGTGCTGGGCTTAGTTTGACTGACATTGATACAACTGATTGTGCTAGCTCATTAGCAAGTTTACAATGCTTAGCTCGCAAACTTCATGAAAAAGATCCAACGAGATTAGAATACAGAGAACAGACTATCTCCATGGCATCTATGCCTCCTGCAGGCAGGGAATCTTCGGAAGATGAAGAAGGTCCAGTACCTTCCGACAAACTGTGTGAAAATGAAATTGATAGTTTAAAGAAAAGCATTGAAAACATGGAATGTAATAATTCTGATCATAATACTTTTAGTGCCACAGATAATTAATTCGTGCCAAAATATTTCTTAGTATATTTTATGTGCAATTTTGTTTTTATTGATAAATAATTTAAGATGTAATTTTAAAACTTGGTGAAGACTCGATACTGTGTGAAAACAAAATAATGCGCTTTAATTAATAAGTAACATGTACCTATTTTTTTTTATAAAATATCCTGTAAATATATGATATTGAAATCATAATAATGTTGTTATAGTTGCTTCCAGCATAGGGCTTATATTACACTATGTATCTATTATTCATAGGTCTTAAGTCTTAAGGAGTTTGTAATTAAGGAGTGAATTTGTTATTTTTTTTATTTTAAGATAGAATGTCTTGTAGCTTGTCTACTAAATGTTTTAGATCCATAAGAATGTTTTGTGGTCCATAATTTGTTAAGTCAAGCTTAAAATATCAATGAAACATATTACAAATTTTAAAAACTTGTAGTAAATCTTGATAGACCATTTAATGCGACACTTTTGTATGTATTTTTATAAAATATATACTCACTGTATTTACAATTATAAATATCTACTTCCAAATCCTTATCTTTAAAAGTAAAATTGGCATATCAACATCCACTAATAAAACGTAGTAAACCTGTTAAACTTATAAAGTCTTCCATATGATATATATGATGAATAGTTTTTGTGCTAGATATTTGTTTTTACTAGCTACTCTTCATGTTTAGGTATACATTTAACTTGTACCTAATGTTTTCATCATTACATGATCCTACAAGTAGGAATTAGATATAAAATATATTTATATTATAAATTATATATAAATAACTATATATTATGTCAAAATGTCTTTTATTGTTCTTTATATAAATCCTTGTGTTGATTTTAATTAAATTAAGGCTAAATATAATCTATTTCTTAATATTAATATGGGAAAACTCACAATCATATCTACACATTTTGCTAGAACTAGATTTTTCCATGAAAATCAGTAAATTAAATGAAAAAACATTATGGATTAAACTTAAGGAAACTTATATTAAGAAATAATACTAAGTGTGAACTATGACATTTGTATGTCCAATACATTATAGACGTATGGGAATCCAACTTTATGCTAAGGGCCTTTTCGCCCTTAGTGTTGAAATAATTTAATACAAATCCAGTTTGATAACCTAAATATTTCATGTTCAGGAATATAACTAATATCTTACCTGTTGTTTAACTTCTAAAATTGAAGATTTTTAAATATGTTCTATTAACATCAACCTTAATAAAATAATTTAATCTATGTTCATATATGAGATTAACTAATTAAGGATAAAATAACTGAAATTAATACAAAGATGTCAAATAATTGCCCATTTATTGTTTACAATGACTTTAATGTAACAAATGGATATTAAAGTGATAAAAAAGTATTTAACCTCTTAACTTCTCTTTATCCCCCGCTATCGCGCATCAAATACCACCACTGAAACATCTATTAAGGAAATATATGGTATGAATAAATAGTGTGTATCTTGGCAAGTTACAACCACACACAAGTTCTAAGGCACAAAGAGCGAAGTTTTTCACTTTTTGACCAGATTTTGACACAACATTTTGTACTAAAAAAATAATAGAAAAACAAAATATATATCCGCACCATTCTTGATTGAATTTAAGCATATACCTTTTAAAGTTCAATTTAGCCTTCTAAAATTATAATTTTCATTAAATTAATAAATTAGTTGTAAGGATGACATACAATGATTTGTAGGTGGATAATTCATTAAAAGGATACATCTTTTAGTTCTTTTTTTGTACATTATTCTGTATCCACATTCTCTGCATCTGATTGGATCTCGTGGTTTTATTTCATTCTCCCGGTGACACTCTAAAAACAAAACAATAATATATTAATAGAGGCACCTTCAGCTTAAATCAAGAAAAAAGAAAGAGTAAGTAAATAGTAAATACTATCATTAAAATAAGACTAACCTCCACAAACATAAATCATAGGAACTTTTGTGACGGACTCTTTATTCGAATCGGCCATTATTTAAAAATCTCAAAATAAGTTTGGTTATTTCGGTACCTAAATATTTTGAAAGCATGAATTATTCCCAAAAAGTTGATCAAAGACTACACTGTCTACAATATAATTAATAATATAGGTTATGATAATAATATAGTATATAGTGACTAGTGAGACAAACCACAGATGAGTAATATGTTTGCTCTCAAACTATTTTTTCTATATCAAATCGAGATTTATTTATAGCTCCAACACCCAAATACTGTATTTAAAAAATAATAAATAGAAAATTAAAACAAATTTAAAAATTTGGTCACATTTCATAAAATAGCCAACTGGGTCTTAGCAAAAAAAAGGTCTTGGTGTCTGGGTCTGTGCCCTTATTAAAATACAAAACCAACAAAAAAATGATAGTTTAGTTAGGTACTTAATAAAATAATAATGATATTGATAAAGATATATAAAGATAAAACACCATCGGTGTTCAAGTATGAATAATTGCACCACAATATACATATACTACTTAGCACATCTTTATTAAACAATAAAAATTCGTATTCGTTCGTGAAGTTTCGTAAACATTCACTTCAAAAATTAAATTATTTAACCTTCGACACTTAATATTTTAATGACAATTAAATTCATTAAATTCATAACATATCTTCCTTCTTCCCTCCCTTTAGAAGTTTCACTTCTGACATGACGTGTACTCTGTACGCACGCACTTTTTTTTATTTATTAGGTACGTTTGCACTGATTATTAAAAGATTTAGAAATTTTACAGCATTCATCACACACCAAAGAAAGTCAATGTCAAGATCGAGATAAAGATTGAAAGTCAAAGAATACAATACGCAGACAAGGCAGTATAGTCTGAGTGGCAGTAAAGACTGTAGCCTGGCTTTTGGGCAAAAAAAAACTATAGTCCTTTTCATGAAAGAAGCCCCCCAGACGCAGCGCTGTAATCGCATGACGTAATGTTGCCATTTATGAGTAAAAAAATTACCTATTTTACATTTAGCAAATTTAATTAATCAAATAATACTATTTTCTGCATACTTCTATGAAACAATATTTCTGTTATGTAAAAAGTATATTTTTATTTACTTATATAAGCGGTGTTCTACCTACTTACAGGGATAAGATGAGAAAATAGGGTAAAGAAAAGCAATACAATTTTTTATTGAATAATTTTAGATCAGCGGCCATAGGAACATCACTGTCTGAAGAGTGGATGGAAACAGAATCAGATTCGGTTTCAGTATCACTAGCCGTAGATATAATTGTTATTTTTTATATTGATACTCTTCCCCGGGTGACAATTTATTTCAAAGTACACGCCGCTATTATACCTTCATTTGTAATTCTTGTTACGCCTCCGCAGCTTCGGCTTTTTGGTTGCCTTCGGCGACCAGCCTTAGCCGCTACGGCTTGCATAATGCCTGTGCTTTGTTACAGCGGGTGGGGACTGCTCTTCCTCCGCGCCTCCGATTTTTTATATACACTCTAGGGGTAGGGCAGACAAGACCACGTGGATAGTTGGGTGCTCTGATTCGGTTTTGGGTACTTTTTGGATATTAAAGTAAACACTTTATTCTAGTAAGAATTAAATTAAATAATACAGAAAGTTGCAAACAATGAAATACAAGTACTAATTAGGAAATACAGACGAGTAGGTATCGATAATTTCAAAAATTTCGGAACCCTATAATCTATCAACACGAAATTAGGTTAATTTCAATGTTGATTATTCTATAACTTTAAATTTCAAAAATGAGGAAATAATCGATAAATACAAAAAAAACTATTATTAACAATCGATAAATTAAAAACACGATTTTTTAAAGTGAACGTCACATCTCTTATAACCAATAGAAATGTAGAAAATGGCGGATTGTTTACAAATTTCAATACATTACACAAAACTTTATTTTTTTTTGTAAAAATACTTAGACGCGTTTCCGCAGCAAAAATTACTTGGAGGTGTTCCAATGAAGGTCCCCCGAGACTCCTACATAATTAGTATCATCAAAAAAGTGCGGTAACATTTAACACCCAACCCTATGTTTTAATTTCAGTTACCTAGTTTCATTCGTTATGTATTTGTTCAATTTTGTCGCGAAAATGAATTTATATCATAAAAGTCCCATCAATACAGCAAAACATTATTATGTGGCAACTCTAAAAAGTACCTGTTATGGCGGCGAACATTGTTTAGTGGTATTAAAACACCTTGATTCGCTTCACAGAACTCTTTCAATTTCAATATCATTTCTCGAGCCGAATTTTTTACAACTTTTGGCATTGTAAACAATCTTTAAAATGCACTAAGCTAGTTAAAAACTCACAAAAATCTTCCACAACAAACGAACTTGATAACATCGACGAACGACAACATGGCCGACCTGTCAAATTTAGTTCTAAAAATCTCCGCGGGACTTCTTTCATGAAAAGGACTATAATTTCTATCTCTTTTTTTATCCATACATATTACATAGTGTGAAGAAAACAACAACATACATATATAACAAAGTCAAGCTGTTGTTATTTTGCTTTTGACTTTGCTATTGGATCAATTATCAAGAACAATTATTATCATAAAGTTTTGTCCATAAAATAATACAAATGCCGAGTTTATCTTTGGAACTTGGAATAACTGGAACACGCGAAAGAAGAAAGTTAAACCCTAAAAACTATTGTTTTAAGTAAGTTTTATTATTTACAATTAGTAATTTGTTACTTTATTTTTCAGTTATATAGTCCAAAAATAGATCACTCAAATTAAACTTCAGGGATAATAATGACTTGATAATATAATATATTTACTAGATATTAAATATATTTGTAGCTTATTTTTTTCTATTAACAATATAATGTAATTATAAACAAAGTTACTTAGATTTCTTTAATTTTTTTTCGGAGTCGTAAATCTAAAAAATTGTATAATGACCGTGGACAGCTGTGTGCAACAGGGCAAGATCTTTGCGACTGTTTAGATGAAAAATGCCCAGGTTGCCATTTTCCTTGTCCTAAATGCAGTTCAAACAGATGTGGAATTGATTGCAGGTAATAATGCTTTTAGTTTTCTAGCATGATTTTTAAAATTTAGGTAAAGAATCAGTGACATAATCAAAATTATTTTTTATTTCAGAGTTAACCGGAAATGGATGTATGAAAAAATTGAAATTGAAGGAAATGACAATGTTATAAAAAATACATATAAAAAGTAGTAGAAGTATGTCTAAAACAATATTAATCATTAGCAAGTAATTTAAAAAAATATTCCACTTCAAGTTCACCATCTTCTGGGAGGTCTGTGCAATGGACTGCATTATACAAAATGCTTTTTCCATATAAAGCTCTTATAGACTCAGGATACAGTTGTCGAGCTAACTCCTGAAATAAAAACAGTCAAGAGAAAAGCTTAGTTTTACTTCTATTTAACTATTATTATGATGTAACTTAACTCAACAGCCATTTAAAAAAAGTAAGAAAAACAATATTTAAATAAAATAACAAATATAAATATCTAAATTGAGAAATCTATTTAATTACATACAGGGTCTCTAGGTCCACAAACTTTTCTGAATTCAGACACAATGTTAATACTTGCATCATCAGACTTTACTTCTAGTGCAACACATTTCCCTTCGGCTAAATGTATGCACATGGCCTGAAACATAGTACACACTTTAAAAAAAACAATCTTGCCTCGTAAAAAAGTAAAATATTTTTCACAGATTAATTAAAATCTTATCCTTTTAAAATTTTATTTACGAACTATCAATGTTTATAAAAAAATAGTGATAAAGGGACCAACATATTGTTGCCTACATCACTTGCTTCTCATGGTATGATTCAGTGTGACTCATGTATGTCAAAAAGATTGGATTTTTATAATTCATACTAAATCTTATTTTACATTCTTAGCATTGGAGTTCTACTTAGAAGAACTACTCTAATAAGAGCTCAATAATTTTATAGGTAATAGTTTGTACTAACTTCATATTCTGGGAGAACACCCTTATATATTTCATAAAACTCCTCTGCATTCAGCAATTTAACAGAAAACAGAGCTATGGCTGATACATAGAATTTTTTAGATGTTGCAATAACTTCCAGAATGGAGCCAATATTACCATCAATAACAGCATGAGGTTTTATAATGCAGCATGTGCAGTTATTCAAAGTAGCTCTAAATGGTATTCGTGGTATGCCTTTCTCATAACCAAAAAACAGCTCTAACATCTACAATTAACATAGATCCCAAGTAATTCTTAATTTTAGTTTATAAATTAATAATGCAGTCAAATTAATTTGATCGATTTATACATGGTGTAAGTGAAAAAATGAGTACACAAGTATGTACTTTCTAAAAAAATCGTAGTCCGTAAGTAAATAATATAGTTCTTATTTAGTGACTATCAATATTTATATATTTATAGTATTTATTATTTAAATTTTAATATTGATAGTCATATTATAAAGCTGAAGAGTATGTGTGTTTGTGCATTCTGTTCAACGCGCAAATTTCAGAACTACCTAGTTCGAATTAAAATCGTGTCAGGGAATCCATTTATCAGACTAGGCTTCAGGCTATACCACATATAACATCACCAAAAAGATTGGAGCATTAATTAAAAATATTGCAATAAGTTAATGGCGCGTAAAAATCACGTGAATGCAATACAGTATGTAAAAAAAAAGTTAGCTATCTATAACCATTTTATGTATTTAACAGACATACTTGGGTTGCATCCTCTAAAGTATTACAACCATGAGCAATGTTTTTTAGTGTATTTTCTCCATACAAATTACGTAAAGTTCCTGGAGCAGCTTCTGATGGCTCAGTTGCCCCTAAACATTTGCGCCATTTTTTTACAGCATCAGGAGCAACTAGTTCTAGGCCAATAACCTCTCCGCTTGTGATGTAGTCTATTATTATTCTGTAAATCACGACAATTACTACTAACGTATTACTAAATCCTCTGTTTTTTACAAATAATAAAATATTATTTAATGCAACCAACACTGATATTGCATTGTGTATTTACACATGATAGATTTTAAAAATCTAAGCTAAGTAAGATAAAACATTACGGCATCATATTGCTTCCCGAAATGTTATGGTAAAGTATAATTGCAAAGTCCTTGCTGATCTTGCCATTTTTCATACGCACAATTCGAAATCCGTTTTTCATGATGAACGTTAAAATTTTGCCATGTTCGCTTGGTGGGATGGGTTTTATCATAGCAAAAGTACTGCAAGTAAGATTATCTATAATTTATTTATCCAAAAAAGACAGCTACATTTTATAAAACAAGTATAAGCTACCTTTCCACATTTTTAAAAAGAGTTCTTCTAGTCAAAGGTGCACAGTCCGTGATTTGCAGTAATTTTGAAAATATGTTCACAACATTACCTATTTGAAGCATTTCTAATTTTAATGGAGGCAATTGCACGCGTCTCAAAAGAGTTTTACCCTTTTTCGTGTTAATTATTTGTACAGAGTTATCGAAAGGGAAAAAATTAAGAACTAATTCCACGATCTCGTCCCCTTCTTCATCATACATTTCGCAAAGAAATGTATACTTATCGAAGTAATCATAAACCTGTAATAAAATGAAAATTTTATTGGAAATATACAGTAATATGTCTACTGTACTAATGAACATACCATTTTACAAATAAGTAAACGGGAGAAGTACAAAAAAAAGTTAATTTAATATATTTTTATATTCACAGCTTTGATTGACAGCTATATAATCAAAGCTTCAGAACTTACGGATATAAAAAATTAAACAAGTCCAGTTCAATAGAATTCTATAGATATCAGAATAAAATAAATTTGTTTGACCTATTATAATATTTATTGTTTTTAATTCCCATCTTTGAATGCAACAAGACTGCATCAAGTAGGTAGTTATACTTCATTAATGAAATTAAGCCCTTCACTGTTAAAATATAGTAGGTAAATGGAGGCATATTTAATATAATTATTAATAAGAAATAGCGCGCGACTCTCAACTATGGGAACGTCAAATCAACCAACCCCCACTGTGCAGTGCATTCCTTCTATTATTATTACGAATATCAATTTAGCTAATTAGTAAGAAAAACAAATTAGTATCAGGCACGTCAAACAAAGGTTCCATTAAAAACTTATAACTGCAAAAGAAAATGCTTTTCAGGTCTAGTTTATTAAATAATTATTGCAGACGTAGAAATTTTGTGAGTTCAAAATCTTAAAACTCTAAAATGGTGTATTCTAAGCTTTTTAATTTCTAAGAAAGTTGAATAATATGAACGCGCGATAACCAGTACTTCACGAGATATTCATTTTTAAGTCGATATTTTTTACAACTTTTACCAATACTGTCTGCCATTCGTTCCGTTTTACCATAAAAGTGCGTTAAAGAATCTCGGAATGTTTTCATAGTAACATAAGCAAACAAAGCATTAGGGGATACCTCATATATAAGGTATCCCATCCCCTGGAGAGATGAATGTTAGTCAGCCTCTTTCCATTTCTCTAATATTTATTCTTTTTTATAGCGTTTTACTAATTTACAAAAGTGAGGTTAGGATATAAAAAAATTATAATTCGATCGACCTACGCAGTCTATGCTTAATTTTATGAAGATACACGTCTTTAAATCAGAATCTTTAAAAAAAATTATAATAGTACAAGAGTTGAGTTTCCGCACAGACTCTACCTATTGTATGAATCTTATTACAATTACATGACTGTTTTCAATAGTAGCGAAGCAAGTGGTAAAGGATTCTTGGTAACCCTCTACATCTATTTGTAGTGTTAAGCTATTAAAAAGTAGAGAACACTAAACTAGAATCTAAAACACTTAACAGAAGCTTGTGTGTGTAACATCATCTAACATTTGTAATGGTTTAAATTTGTTTTAGTATTTATACGTTACGTTCGCACATCCCTAGTTCGAACTTCAAACACGCGAGCGCCATAAGCGGACAATATTCACAATAATTATTATCACAGATTACTTACTTGGCAATTGTGAATTGGCATTGCGCAGTAAGAGATGAGAACACTGAAAATGTCGTTTTAGATTTAAAAAGTCAAAACAAAAACAATGTTTCGTTTCTATTTGTAAACAGAATTAGACAATTAATATAGTGTTTGTATATTATAATTTAAAATAATTGTATTATTTTGTTTATTGTAAAACATTATTATCATGGCAAGTAGTGCAAATTATGTTGTGATTTACGAGTATATAATAAATTATATTATTATTCTAAACATGTATTTATCCATAGGAAGGAGCATATAAAGAAAAATACTCATTTATTGGAGAATGGTATGACAACCAAGCAAGCCTTGTAAGAAGATTTAATATATTTTATTATCCCACCGATGATACAATCGAGATGTATGATTTGAAGAACAGGAAGACCTTTTTAAGAAGAGTGAAGGTGAATGGTATAACACTTGACAATTTCTTTATTGGGAGTTCCCTTTACATATTAGGAAGATTGGTCAAAATTATTGATTTTGCATGTGAACACACAAAGGAAAAACTGCACAAGGATATGGAAGTGTGAGGTTCAAGTCTGATATTAAAATTCATTGATTTATTATTTCCTTTTTTAAAAATATATAATTTTATTCTTACAGCACATTTGCGCTAATAAAACCCCTTTCATCAAAGGTTACTGGAAAAATTATCACCCACTTCTTTGAACACAACCTTAAGATAACTAAAATGAAAAAAGCCCGCCTCACAGGGGATGATGTAAACTATCTTTATAGATTTCAATTAACGGATCCTACATTTCCGTAAGTAATTCTACAATTTCTATTGATATGGTGAATTATTTTTGAAACTTAAATTGGCACACACAAATGGTTCATATGTTAAATATGCTTAGATTCTTATTGTCGTTTGATAATAGAATTTCTATCTTCATTAAGTAAGTAAATTAATCATTTTGTAATTTCCTTTTTATAGCAAAATTTAGCCAGGCTAGATATTTTTTGTAATTATTCACTGATATAGTTTTTTTTTATATTTGATATATAGTGGCCAACATTATGCTGGGCTACAATAAAAATTTAATTGCAACAGAATCTATCTTTGATTTAAAGGTTCATAAATAAGTTCACATTAGGATAAATATATATTTAAATGTAACCATAATTATACAAGACAATTTAAAACAAATTTGCAATAGCATTATGGATAGAATATACAAATAAATGGAATCCAAAATAAATTTGAAACTAGATAATTAAAATTCACATAAACCATACTTCACAAGAATTTTAAAAAATCTACAGATTTCTTTTGGAGCATCTAACGGGAGACTTAGTGTATGGTATGGAGCTTGTTGGTAAAGATGCTGTTGCCCTCTCCAAACAAATAATTGGTGATAAAGATCCAATGAAAGCTAAACCAGGCACTATAAGGGCACTTTATGGAACTGATCCTGTTAAGAACTGTGTTGATGTCTCCAGTGATACTGAAACTGCTATTCAGGTATATTAGATGTATAAAATATAAGCATCGGGCAGAAGTCTGTATATAATCATGGTAATAAGTTGTGAGTTAACTTTCTGTGCCTTCTTACTAGTGTACAATTTGTTTTATATAATGTATGGCGAGAAAGGTGATCACCAGCCTTGTATTTAAAAATGTCTAACTTGGCTCAACCAACTAATACTCTATTTCTATAATTAAATGTTTTGGTTTGTGGACTCAGTTTCCGCACCTAGACTCTCAATAAGTCCGTTGTGCGTAATATAATTATTTGTTTACAGGATGTGGAATATTTTTTTCCCTCACCACCATTTCATTTATCAAGGCTTCGATTGACAGCCACCCTGTCAAATTGCACCCTTTGTATTGTGAAACCACATGCCATCCGAGAGGGTAAACTTGGTGCTGCATTAGAAGCAATTGACGAAGGTGGATTTGATATTACAGCTTTGAATATGTTCATAGTTGAGAATATCAATGCGGCAGAGTTCTATGAAGTTTATAAGGGAATTGTTCAAGAGTATAAGGTACATTTTATTACAAGGTTCTATAAGAAATTCACTGTAGACTTTCTCTAGCGAATTTTTCTTTTCTATATTGCCACAGCCACATCCGTATCATATCCGATTCATGAATTCGTAAACACATACCGGCCCAAGGATAATATAATCAGGCTAAATTAATGGGAGTACCTAAACAGCTAAATGCCAAGCTACCACACAATGTTTAAATATTAGTAATTAAATTGTTGTGTCATAGTGGCATAGGCAATAGATACAGATCAGAAACTTATTCCAGAGGTGAAATAGCCTCCGTAATTTAGTGTAGGTGGTTTTTTTTGTATAGAACCCAACCCTCTTAAATCATTATTAGGTAGGTTATTTAAATTTTTAGACTTGCAATTATATATTATTTATACCAACTGTACACACCAGACGCGTCGCCAGTGGGGGCAGGTATTTGCATCCCCGCGCCGTGCGTATAAAAAAACCTTGTTTTAAATTAATTAAATTAATTACTAATCGTCTAACTGGTTAATTTTTATTGTTTAATATATCTTATTAGTTATTATCTTTACATTATTATTGTGCAGTTAAAACCACGTAGAACATGATTTTATAAGATATTCCTTTATCATCCTTTGTATGTTTGTGTGTCCTTTTTTTATATCCATTAGGTACTTATGATGTCCCCTGCCCAGTTGACTATCAACTGTCGACGGCCTTGTTACGCGTCCTATATTTTTCTTCTCTGGTGTCTCTTGATAAAGTTCTGTTGAATATAAAAATAAATTAAATAAAAAATGTATACCAACAGTGATAAATAAATCGATCACGGGAAAGCCAAGTATGTTATATATATATATGTTTCGTTTTCATCATTTTTCTTACTAGGCAAGTAGCTGATCTGCCTTCTGTGACACGTCGTCGACGTTTTTGATTCTAAGGCATTCCATGTTTCCCTTCATCGTACGAGCCAGTGTTGGTGCACAGCCGGGGTTCGAACCACGACCTCAGGGATGAGTCGCACGCTCAGACCACAAGCCCAGCAAGCTTTAGTTGGACATTTTTCAATATATATGTTTAAGGTTTTACATGTTACAGGGAATGGTGGAAGAGCTTTCAAGTGGTCCGTGTATTGCAATGGAAATTGTTGCGAAGGATAAGCGTACTAATACAGCCGTTGAGTTTAGAAAATTAGTGGGGCCATCTGACCCGGTATGTCTTTGTTGTAAGCATGATTATATCGGCTAAGTTTCTGGCCAACTCACAGTCCAAACTTCTGAAGTTGTTTCTATGAAATCATTCTCACTAACCTGCATGAACTGAAACACACAAAACGAAGTTTTTGTAGTTACATGGTGCCATTGTCCAGTTTATTTATGCTTTATTCACCAGCGCTAAGACAATATGTAATAATAACATTTATTATAAACTCAAATATGCTGAAACGATTGTAATACATTTTGGTTTTGCTTCGTGTATATATAAAGAATAATACGCGAAAAGTGTACAATTATGTAACTAGCCTGGCCTGATTCAAAACTAAGAATATAAGGTGATCCTTATATTCTAGTTTTGAATCCATAACACCCGCTTGAACAAATCACTATAAAGCCAAAATAGTTAAAAGTAGTGAATTCCAGTAAATTTTAATTTAGTTGGAAAATTGATATCACCTCAATATAATTTGTTCCACGAGGCTTCTTTTTATTGAATAAAGCAATCATGATCAGCTGCGGTAAAGTTTTTTTTTTTTTTTTTAGGAAATCGCAAGATTATTACGTCCAAACACAATGAGAGCTAAACTTGGGAAAACAAGGGTGCAAAATGCTATACATTGTAGTGATTTAGCAGAGGATGGCTTACTGGAAGTGGAATATTTCTTCAAAATTTTAAATTTGTAATCTTTTTAATAATATCAATGTTTCTTTATTGATCTTAATCTATTTGAAGGCGAAGGTTTATCACGCTTTTATATTATTCCATTTTTTTAAATAATACTATTTAATTTCAAGAGTTCGCATTTTAAAGTACTTGATTATTTACCAATAAAATAAAAATTAAACTGAAAATCAAGTAAGCAGTGAAAATATGATATAATAAAGGTTGGGACCTAATCTGATATTTGTTAAAGTTTAGAATATCTTAAAGTATATCTAGGAATTATAAATGGTTCTAAATAGCACATTACCATGCGTACGATATTTAGGCTGCTACACAAATGTTAGTCATCTATGAAATAGGTATATAAAAGACTGATTTTGATTATTATATTGTGTGCTTAGAGTGTGGTTTTAATAAATAAATGATTATAAGTATAATTTGTTATTTTGTGTCCTAATTCAAAACTCACGGACAAACTTATTAAAGCCTGTTAAAATACAGGACTCCCTGAGGAATGTGTACTTTTCCTTCCATGAATATAGGGAGCGAGAATTCTTGACCATTTCACACTTGGCCTTTGGGGCCAATGGCCAGTCAGTGACGATCTAGTGGCTATTTTTTAATGGAACCTTCTAGTTGACCTGATGAGTCTTAATAGCTCAGATCGGTCTGTTTTGCCAGCGCAGTGTTGGTTAAGGTCGAAAAGTTTTATATTATATACTGTGTTAGTGAGTTTCAGTGTATGACGTCATCGCAGTGATAGTAGCCACAGATTGTAGGTTTCGCAACAAAACTAATATTTTTTACGTAAGACATGTTTTAAGGACTAGGTCAATGGAAATAGCTCGTTTTAAACGAGTTACGCTTAATGCAGATTTTATCCTAGTTTGAATGAATCTTACGAATTTAGTAAAAATGTGATCATTTGTGGTATAGTAAAAAGAACGTGCATAATGTTTTATTTTTAATCAGATTTGCTAATACAGTTAACACAAAGCATTCAATTAATTGTTAATACCTTTTAATAAGTAATCTGTAACTGAGTAATTTTCATATAATTACGTCAACATTTCTGCATCGTATATCAAATATCTTATACAAGTATTCAACTTGTAAAATAATATATAGATCAGAAGAATAGATTTCTGTTTTCTTTAAGTACATTCTTAGCTATATCTAACTAAAATGCTACATTTATTGTAACAAGTTATAGAGAGGAGAAATAGCGTTTTATTCGAGTGAACGGATAAATATCGGTTTGGTAAAGTAAATATCGGAAGATCATCGAATTTCAAAAATCTTGGAAACTTTTCAGGTACATACCTACTTTGTATTAGGTCCTTACATATGAAATTGGCGTTTTTCGTACTGGCCACTTTAATCACGATGTTCTCCTCTTTGGTAAGGAATTTCAAATTCAAATTTGTACAGCTATTTACTCATGTATTTGTGCTTCGATGACCGTCATTCATTTGTTTTTTTTCTTCTGTTTTTTTCTGTTTGCGTCACTCATTTTACAAAATGGAAAACTTAAAGTATCGCATTATTTACGAGTACGAGTTCCGCCGTGGCACTAGTGCTGCGGAAACGACTCGAAGGGTGAATGATGTGTATGGCGGTCATGTTGCAAAAGAAAACACAGTTCGTTTTTAGTTCCAACGTTTTCGTTCTGGAAATTTCGACCTGCAGAACAAGCTCCGTGGACGGCCTGAGACCCAAGTTGATAATGAAGAATTGAAGGCTATTGTGGAAGCGGATCCATCGCAAACCACGTCCGAGTTAGCTGCAGGCTGCGGTGTTAGTGATAAAACTGTTTTAATTCACTTGAAGCAAATTGGGAAGATTAAAAAGCTTGAAAGATGGGTACCTCACGAATTGACTGAAGCAAACCGGCAAACGCGCGTCGACTGCTGCGTTACATTACTGAACCGGCACAATAATGAAGGTATTTAAACCGAAGCATTACCTGTGATGAAAAATGGATTCTTTACGATAATCGAAAGCGCTCCGCGCAATGGTTGGATCCTGGCCAGCCAGCCAATCCTGCCCCAAGCGAAAATTAACCCCAAAAAAGTTACTTGTAAGCGTTTGGTGGACTAGTGCCGGTATTGTTCATTGCAGTTTTCTCAAATTTGGCCAGACTATTACGGCTGATGTCTATTGTCAGCAATTGCAAACCATGATGGAAAAGCTAGCGGCTAAACAACTTAGGCTGGTCAATCGCTCCACGCCACTGCTACTTCACGACAACGCTAGACCACACACTGCACAACAGACGGCTACCAAATTAGAAGAGCTTCAATTGGAATGTCTAAGACAACCTCCGTACTCCCCGGACCTTGCTCCAACAGATTACCATTTTTTTCGAAATTTGAACAACTTCTTGCAAGGGAAAAAATTTAACTCTGATGGGGCAGTCCAAATCGCCTTCACAGATTTTATTGATTCCCGTCCGACTGGTTTTTTTAGTAAAGGGATCAATGAACTACCTATGAGATGGCAAAAGTGCATAGAAAACAATGGTACATACTTTGATTAATTAAAAATATTCGACTTTTTGTTCCTCCCATACAAAACGCCAATTTCATATGTAAGGACCTAATATACACAATGCGTTATAAAATAAGTAATAGTTTTAGGGCCTATCCCAGCACGAATTGATGTGTCAGTGTCTCGGGGTGGACTGTGGGGCGCAGTCGAGAGCTGGAGCACTGAGGCGCGCCGGCCCGTAATAACAATTAGTTATGTAAAACATTAAATTAATGTAATTTTGTTTGTCAATTTTTTTTTGAAATGGATTTACTTGGCTTGCGATAAAATATATCGTGTAAATTTCAAAATTATGTTCCATATACATTTTCGTCATAAAATGAATTCAAAGTGTCAAAAATTGGCTACGTTTGGATTTTTTTCTATCGAGCTAAGTTATTTTAATCGTGTATCGATAATTCAAAATGGATACATAAACTACTCAACTCCACCATATATTTTTTCCATTACCCTACTACAAGAAAAGATGACGCAAAATGGAAAGAAACAATGTACTTTTTTAGAGTTTGGCGACCATATCGGTCCTTAACAAATATTGTAGAAATAAAACTCATCACATCATAAAACTCGTCGTTTCTAATGACATATTTCGATGTTATTATAACCTCATATTTTATTGTCAAGAAACAATGTCCATTCCAATGACCGAAAACCCAAGCACATTTTTTTTGCGCCTTTTAAATAATTTGAGGCAAGAACTAAAATATCTTAATTCTTACATTATCCCCACAACACGTTAAAATCATAAATACAACATTTGATCCTAAATATCTATATTTACTTAGTAAACTTTGATAGCCTTGGTGTGTACTTAATAAACATATGTACATATATATACAAGAGTTAACTGGTGAATTGTTTGTGAGCCAGTAGGCGTATGTGAGAGGACGACGGAGTTTTGCTAGCGTGGTCGTAAAGCAAAATTGAATCGCGCGCGGACTACACGCGATAAAACGACTGGGTTCTTACGCGCAAGATATTTTAAAAAAATAGTGCAAAACTGGCTGTATTGTAAGGGAGTTTCAGAGTTATAAACTTGTAATTGTACCTAAGTTTATCGATGACGGTGAGTACTGTTGGTTTTTAAGTACGTTTGTAAGATAGTTTTGGAAATTTATGTTGAGTTCGACGTTGAAATTATGCAAACACATTACTATTACTTATCCATAAATCAAACTTATGTATTATTGAAAGTATTTTTAGTTTATTTTTAGCTTAACATGTTGAATAATCAAATGTGTATATGTCAAATAATCGTGCGAAAAAAATTTGGAAGAACTACTTGTGCCCTTCTTGCAAATGAAACAATGTTTTATTTTTTAAATAAATGCTTTATTTTGATAAATCCAACTCGTTAAATAAAAAAATATTTGTAGACTTTACATGGATTAATTTAATCAAAAATCATTATTGTGACTACTAAAACATATTTTTGGGTATTTACTATGAAAATAATTAATATACTTTTAATAGTTTTTAAGGCTCACGCAAAATTATTTATAAATAAGGTTTTGACTCTACTCTTCTTTATAATATACAGTTTGTTTATACTTTTTATGGGAGAAAGGTTTTTTATATTATTTCATGTGAGTAAATTGGGTGATGCTTGCTATAAGTTTTATATTTTTAACTTAAGTTTCAGATATAGTTTAAGATATTCTAAATATAGTATGTGGCTTATGCCGTAAGTTAATTAATAATAAGGGGTTTTTTTTTCAAATAAATACAATCAAATCTAATTATTTACTATATATAAATTTAAACATAGAGCCAAAATGTATGTTAAACACAAATTATATATTTTTATAATCTACAGAAAGATATTTAATCCGGCTGTTAAGGATGTTTTATCTGAATTTCTTTAATTGCTTTAGGTAACTATGTTTTTTAACGTCTCTTACAGCCTCAATTAGATTAGTTTATAGCCATATTAATTTATTTACCATAGATATCCATCGAGCTAGCAAAAGGTCTAAGCTTCCGTAAAACCTTCACAGCGACATGGCATCGTTGTTAAGATTTATAGTTAGATTTACTCTACTCATTAGAGAAATCTAATTTCTGGCGGAAATTTATAGAACATACTTAAATCGCTCAGGCTTTTATTACGACATACTCAATTCCAATTTTTAGTTTTGGTGTAAAAAACTTATTGAGGGCATATCATATTAATTTAATTATAGAATACGCTGATCTAAGTAGATAAGCTTTATAAATTTCAGTCGGTATTCGATAATCATTATGGTTAGGTACGAAACAAAAAAATACCTCTCTGCAAGAATTTTAAATGTATAAAGTATTTTTACTTTATACATCGCATCGATACTATATTATCGCGATCATCCATAAATATGAGACCTTCCACGAAGAATAAGATTAATACATATCAGAATGTAAAGTATTGTCTGGTTAAAATACCGTACAAGCTTTAATTAAATACAGAGAGAATAGATATATGTATTTATGATATGAACTGCGCCCTATTGGTTTAGTGCATGTATGTTGGATGTTTAGAAGTTTTTTTAAGCTTTTTCTATTAAATAGCGCTTTCTGCGACTTCTAAGTAATTATCCGAGTGTGAATAATACATATTCACAGTAAGCAGTTATACTGGTATAACTATAATTTTGAACATCTCAGTTACGTAGAAGTTTTTATACTAATTAGTACAAAAAACCGTTACCTGTGACCTATAGTCACTCAACTAGCATGGTTTTGTTTAAACACTGCATATTGTTATGGGAACCTGGTTAGATTTCCATTGTGTTAGTAGCTACATATTATGAAGATTGTATTTAATGTGCAACTTGTGCACAATGATTAATTCCTTTGTACGTATAGTACACACTTTTACGGCTGTAAAAAACGAGATAAATCAAAAAGGAAAATAATGTTACAACAAATGAGAATAAGCAAATTTATTAACCGGCTTTCCCAATTATCCATTTGATAAAGTACACTTTTAGAGTGATCCCGTTTTAGTTAACTAAGATTTCCGCCATTTATAAACGAATTTTAATATTGTTTTTATAAATCTTTGAGAAACGGGTTGTGATGATTTTCAATCGTATGTCTGCGGTTTGTTAAGTAAAGCGCGAGTAAATGTTAGATATCAAAAAAAATTCAATATATTACCTACAATTCAATAATTTCCTTAGTCTGAGTAAAACTGAAGTAAACAGTAGACTGAGTTTCTTTATTTTATTCCTTAGCTGTCCAAATTCACTGGAAACAATGGAATTGAAAAATGAATGTATTAATATTTTATAAACAATCTTTTTACAGGAAGGTTATTTTTATACACTTTCATGAATCAAGTGTATCGAGGGAGAAACTTTTTTGAAGGACCGATGACTTGTTTTCCGACGTAGTGTTAAAAAATAGTTGCAAAAATGCATTTGATTCGGTTATTTTTCAAAAGAATTTTGGACGATTTCCGACAAAAAAAACTGATACCCCTTAAAATACTATGCTTCGTACATGCCTCAAGTAAGTAGTTTCTCTATACATCTTTTCACAGGATCATATTGTAGGCTGGACTAGGCAACTGATTTTTTAGATCTTCATGTATTGTGCGACCACCGAATTGTGAGTCACATCGTCTCGAAGGAACTCTAACGCACCCACGTTCGCTCGCTCGACCTAATCTTCTATTTGGTGTCTCTGCGTTAGCTTTTTGACTCACTATTCAGTACACGCGTGGAATCACTGTTACATCCATTACTTTACACTATAATCGCCTCCTAGCACGGTTCTCAAGTTTGTTTTAATTGATTAGATATAAGGACTAATTGCATTCGGAAATTCTGTCTGAATATAGTCTTGCTCACCGTTTGAAATGATTATGTGTATCCTCTTCTGAGGGATGGAGGTGTTTGGGACTCTTCATCGTGTCATAGAGGTATGAAGTACCTACTAAAACCACATTGTAATATAAAATATATATTATATTATGTCGGCTACATCGGCTGGGTTCTTGGAGCCTCTTCCTATTGGAAATTGCATATATATTAATAATAATATGATATTAATACATTGTAGCGCAATTGGTTTTATATCCCTACTTAACAATACACATGCGAGAATTGGGTATAAATGTGGAAGAAACTGCTGTGATGTCTTCTCTAACTCCGCTTTTTTTGATAATGATACCGCCACTCGCCGGATTGTTTGCCGATAAAATTGGTAACTTTAGGGTAAGTTAATTGCAATTATTATTAATGATAAATAAACTATTGTAATCGCAAAACTGATTCAGTTGGCTGTACACAAGCCGTGAAATATGTAAAAAATATAACAATGGAGTATTTATAATTATGCCTCAAATTTTTACAGGCCGGAAGTATTTAACATATAAGAGGCAACTTCTGATTGCCTACATTTATGTAAAAACATAATGTGCCATGCCACATAATCCCACGATACAACAAATATACACACCCCAATCAAAGCATAGCATTGTTTTACAATTCTTTATTTTAATAAAAATTATTCTTACGTAACAAAGTGGTTTCCTGTGTCTTGTAACGTGTTGGGAGACAATTGTGGCGTCTATCTCACTCAAATGTCCAGAATACTTGCTGGGCAAATAAGATCAACTTTCTGTTCCTTATAAATATATTATTATTTGCCTATAATAAGGATATTCAGGAAAAGAAACTAAGAAGACAAAACTTATCAAAATGAAAAATATAATTCCAAGCATTTTTACTGAGCGACTGATTAAACAATAACATTTAGTGGTTGTGGCGGTAATAAAATAGTGATTTTGCTATATAAGTCTATCAAAGAATATCACGAGACGACTTTACGGTCTGTGCACTTAAATCGATGACTCTATTATTCAATGTCATTTCATTGCAGATGGACATACAATTGAGACTCAAATGTAGCTTCTATTAGTTTCGCTAATGATTACCTTAAACGTTACATCCTGTTTTATAATCAGTAGCTTATCAGGAGGTTTTTAAAAGTCAAAGTCGTGGATTACTTGGAATTATTTCTGAAATTACGTGAATTTTTACGCTTTAATAATTTTATTTAGATTTAAATTGAATTTAATTCTAGTTATTACTGGCTCTTACATCATCTATGGGTGGCTTATCAGCGTTGCTGCTACTTCTTGTGCCCGTTGGTAGATATACCATAACATATCCACCCGCGGTAGAACTTATAGCCTCGTGCGACAGTGCTGTTCTGCATCTTCAAGATGTTAGACAATATTCTTGTCATCCTATACATCCATATGAACATGATACTAATTTGACGTAAGTATATCGAATTCCAGCTCCTTATTCTCTGATTTGTACCTTCTGGTCTTTTATTATGTTTTTTGTTTTAAGGTTACAATCATGTGGATTTGTTTGCCAATCTCTAAACGTATCGAAAGATATGCATGTTGTACTTAAAAGTAAATCTTATAATGTTAATTTAAAGTCTTTGACACGATCACAGCGGCTTATATATCGAAACGTCATAAATCCAATATCTGAAGATTTTGATTCAAAAGATAGAAAAAGAGTTCGTATCCTGACAAACAATCCAAATTTTAATTCAACCATAACGCAAGTGTCCGATAGTAAAATTTATTTTCCTACACCGCAATTGTATACTATGAATTGTAATGATATAAATAACATCACATGTTTGTTCGGAAACTTTGATTTAATTTCGGAATTAGAAAAGGACATACATGAAGATTATCGTGCAAGAATAGCACGGCGTATAGAAGATGATGTGGATGAATCACCAGTGTATTCGATTAATGCCATACAAAGTAGAAATAAACCCTTTAAAGATTTTGAAGGAGATGATAGTACAACGTGTATCGATAGGTTCAAGGAAGTAAGTATCACTCTTGAAGTGTTAATAACACAATTAGAATAAGAAATGCCTTTATTCTTGGTAGTTTCATGCACAAGTAGAAAAGGGTTGTGGTATCTAAATTTGTTACATATAGCGACAGTATTAATCTTTCAAATGAGCAGATCTAACTACCTATTATCGCTAATCTATCAAAAGGTCAAGGCAGATACTGAGAAGACTTAGAACAATGACATTCTACAGTCTATGGGTCGCTACTTAAAGCATTATCTTTATGATTAACATTCAATAGAGTGCTGATTATTTGTCCTCTTTTAGTGTACGAGAATGTCATTATTATTGTAGAGTTATTAAAAATACCGAGAGCTTTTTACTTCGGCCTTTTCTCTCGGCCTTCTTTGCCGATGAGTAGGGATGTCTACCGATACTAATTTAATGACGTGGAATAAGTGATACCTGTATCTTATATTCCATAATAAACAGATTTTATTTTAATCTACCAGACTTTCCCATGTTTTGTTTTAAATGGAAAATCTTATGCCAAATGTTTAATTAAAATGAAGTCTGTTATGAAAATTTTCAGGCTGAAAACGATGTTGAAGTCATGGTTCAAGTTGGATATAAAGAATTTTCTAAATGTTACTCGGCTTGTGCCATGACAACACCCCGGGCAAGTCTCTGTGAAAATAGTCAACAACAAATTGATATAGATCCTTCTTTTACTTTCTGGAGTTATATGGCTGTAAGTCTTCACTTAATTTGATAAATATTTTGGAGGTATCAGCAGCAGTAAATCTAATCAACATATCATACATGTTTATGTATTGAAGCCAAGACTTAACTTTCTCGTGACAGTTAAATCGCGTAACAATCTAACTTAACTCTTGTCCAAAAGTTTTTAAGCGAAGAACAGGTATGTTACATAAGACGTTCACTTAATGTATGTCTAACCGTCTCCTAGTTATTTCAAATAATGCTTTGCACACTTGTAAATTTAAAATCTATTGATTGATTTATAGGAGAAAAAAAAACTCAAATTAAAACCAAAATCTATGACAGAATTCTTTAAATGTGTATTTTTGCAGCTTCGAGTGCTTATTGGTATTATTGGTGGAACATCGTTTGCGTTGTTTGAAGGTGCTGTAATAGCCATAATAAGAGAGCAGGAAGCCGACTATGGAATGCAGAAAGTCTATGGAAGTGTTGGAGGCATTATTTCTTCACCTATTTCGGGGTTGTTCATTGACTATGCTAGTAGAGGGAAAGGATATACAGATTTCAGGTATTACTTGACTGCAAAATTTCTTAAAAAATCTAAACTGGAGGCTCACCTATCATAAACCGCGGCCATACATATAATTACCATTGACCGTTCTTTCGCATGCGTGACCGGTTTTTTTTTACAAATCGTTCTCGTTAGGTTAGCTAGTAAACCTAATGAGTATGAATTACAAACATAAACGTAAACTATAGTTTATAAAGGGTTAACCCACATAACACTAAAATAATAAATTAAAGTTTTTTTTGTACGTAAGATATGCCTTATAGATTATAGAATTTTATTAAAAATTGCTAATGTAATTATTAGGTATCGTTGGTTGATCTATAGGAAAGTACCGCTGTCAAAAAAGGCTTTCTATGGAAATTAAGTATCACCATATTCGTAAAGTGTTTACCAGTTTCTAATGCCCTAGATTTTCAAATTTGTTGCAGGCCTGCCTTTTATATGTATGCAGTGTTGAAGGTAATGTCTGGGATCCTAGTGTTAGGCCTAGACCTTGAGTTCAAAAAACCTGCAAAAACCTTGGTAAAAGATGTTATCACGGTATTTAAAAACTTCGAAATCGTCGCTCTTCTCATCGTTTGTATTGTAATGGGTAAGTATTTCACAACGGCATTTCAATTCATAACCGGTTATTTATTTCTATAGAGTTCTGTAATGTTCCAAAATCTATATCCTGATTGTATGCACGAGTTTATTGCATTATATGTACCTATTGGCTTTTTTACGACAAGATATTAATGTCTTGTTACGTTTCCGTCATTTCATGCTCTTGGTATTGTTTTTAAAAATGCTTTCTCTTTCGCGTGTGTTTCTCGACTCTCGATGAACTCAAGAAATAAGTTTTACCTATGCCAATAAACGTGAACATAGAAATATCTTTCAAGTTATCAAAGACACTTCAAAAGTGCACATAGTATAAGTTTGCTTTTGATAATTTCATCATATTGACTTCAATCAAATAGTGAATTTGTAATATAATTAATAAAATTTTGACTTAAACCTGACTTTTTTAATAAGAATGTTGACAACAAAAATAAAATACAATTTATAGAGACCGATATATACATTTTACAAGATTTTCAGTACCTTTACACATTAATTTGGATTTGTCGTATATTACAGGCACTGCCTGGGGATATCTCGAAAGCTTCCTATTCTGGTTCCTACAAGACCTGGGAGCGTCGCAATCGCTCATGGGCATTACTATCACAGTGGGTGGGATCGCTGGCTTACCTCTCTTAGTATTATCAGGCCCTATCATTAAAAAAATAGGACATTCAAATGTACTTTTCATCGGATTCATCTTCTACGCCATTCGTCTTTTTGGTACGTATTTCTTTGATATGATAATTGTAAAGAGAGTGTATCGTAAAGTAAACAAACCTTTCATGGGCAAATAGATGTCTACTCGTTGCGGACTGGTTTATAAATGAGAAATCAGTTCGCAAGAAAATTGGGGTCATTTGATTCTTTTCTTTATATTTTACTAGATTAAACCCTTTTAATAGGTAAACTAAAGTTTAATTTGATAAAATATATATTATATAACTGTACCGATATGTTTATACCGTTTTACATTGCACATGTTGCCATGTTAACCCTAGTGAAAAATCTTATTATTATTTATATCTTCTGTCTTTTTAATATGCGAAATTTGGGTATGAAATACATTTTAATTTCATAATATATTACCGTTTAGAAATCAAATCAACTTTATGACTTAAAAAATATATATACAATTTTCATAAAACTTCTTTTAATTTTCACGTCGCTACATAAATTCCAGGTTATTCGTTCATATACAACCCGTGGCTGAGTTTAATATTTGAAGCGATGGAATCGGTGACTTTGTCGTTGTCGTTCACTGCGGCAGTCACGTACGCGGCACTCCTTTCATCAACTACCACCGATTCTTCCGTACAAGGATTACTGGGAGGACTCTACTATGGCGTTGGTACGTTATTATGTTTGATGAAAATTAGCATTGAATAGGCAGGTAATACACGACAAAATACAATTATTTATTTCAAATTATGAATCTGTGTCGATGTTTTGCGTGCTTTATGCATGTTCGTGGGATGATTTAAAATATCTATCATAATTTTAATGATTGTAAAACTGTGGAAAAGTAACAAAGGCGCAGTCGTTAAAACTCAGCCGTTCCGGAATAATTATCTATTGAATTACAAACAGATTATGTATAGTGCAATAAAACGACTACTTTAGTAGTTTTATTGCATTTTTAATCATAAATAATGTGTTTCTGTGACGCGAACTTAGGACCGCAATACGACACATAAAAGACATTACTACAATTTTAAAATAGTGCCTGCCTATTTTAATTGTATATTATTATATTAGCCATCTGTTATTAAGTACGTCCGATAAACGTTCGGTAAATATTAAACGTGGCGTCAGATGAAATATAGAAAGGCAAATAGAATCAATTCTTTTAAAACGTTTACGTTGCTTAAAGTCCTGCGGTGCTGAGCAACCAGGTGTTCTCCAAGAACTCGGTGTCTTTGTACCTAGGGGAGATATGCGACGGCAAAGGTTGTTTGCGATACCAAGGGCCAGAACGCGCTTACTGAATGCTTTCTCCGACACTATCGACATATTAATATGTTCACAAAGTGCGTTTACAGTAGCGATATGTGTATATTATGTATTTAATTATATTTTATATTTAATTTTTTGGACATTATCATTTGGCTTAGGACTGTAATGATAATGTATGTGTGAATAAAGAAATAAAAATGAATAGACCTTGGTGATGACTAGCCCCCAGACTAGGATTCTCTGTCTTGATGTTTTGACATAATTCTCAACAATTTGCATAGATTAACAGTAGCTGTGATTAACGTTTATGAAGTTTTGTATGCATCTTATGAAAAAACTTCTATTTTATTTTATGATGTTTAATGCTTTTAACAATTACGCGACTGTAAACGCAGATTAAGACATTTGACCCTGTGTGTCTTTTAGTATATTGGCTTGTTCATAATTTAATTGAGAATTCGTTTTGTTTGTAGGTAAAGGTGCCGGAAGTCTTATCGGTGGTTATTTGATGAAGTTCTTTGGTACTCGATTGACATATCGACTATTTGCAGCCGCTACGTTGGTCACTGGCTTATTTTACTTCGTTTTCAATAGATTTTGTATAAGGAAGTTTGTGAAATGTAGAGAAAACGACACCTCTGCTAAAAATAATGCAAATGTAGAGTCGTGTGAGACTTCACATATAAAAGCTAACATAGATGTCGCTGCAGACAAAATGTCGAGTGAAATGACTGGCTTGGATCGTTTGAAATTAGTAAAGGATACAACAGATGGCGGCAGTGACTCTGGTGTAGAAAACCCAGCGTATTTAGATAATGAATTATGCAAAGATGACACAAAGAAAATACAAGAAAAGCGCTTAACCTAATTTTAAGTTTTAAATTATTGTGAATATTATAATATACTATTTTAAAATTTATCATGTTTTTATATACTTTTAGTTTTTATGACTGATTGAGATTTTGTCAGGAGCAAAATAAAAAGTAATAAAAGTAATACTTTGTAATAATAATCTGTTGTTTGTGTAACAAAAAAAGTATTATGATAGGAATATTAAACACACAAACATCCTTGTTTCATAGCGCCTTAAACAGCCAATTTTGAGTTTTTGACATTTAGGACGCCGCAGAGCTGTTATATACTGTTACATACAAATAAGAACCTAGAGCATAATAATACACAATTAATCTATAAAATTTTCCAATTAAATATAATTTTCATACAAATTATATACTAACCCCTTAGTCGTAAACATCAGTCTCGATTACATTGTTAACATCGTATTTTGTCAAATTATGTTTATGCAAGAGATTATTCAGTGAACTAATGACACATAAAGTATAGGTGGGAATGCGGCAAACTTATTTTTGCATCTGAGTTATTATTTAAGGCAAGCCGGTGATCAGACTTCTATGTGCTATATACATATTTAAAAAAAAGTGACACTATAACTTGTTAGCTTCTAGGCCTCCAATTTCTGTTTCAGTTTCGTGATAATATTTTCAATATCAAGCATATGATTGAATTATAAAATAATTAGCATAGACTTTTAACTTTTGCGTGATGGATGCTTGGTTTGTGATACTTACACCTAGCCTCTATTTTAAAATCATACGTTACCTTACTGTTGATATCGTTCCAATTATGTTATTTAGATTGAGTAAGTAAATGTTTGGTATATGAATATAATTTCCGTTTAAAATACTCTTATGTATTATGTATCTCTAAAAATGCTTTAAAATGCGGGTAACTGGAGAATGGATTTTGAATTTAAATATCTGTATATATAATATCAAATATCTTGTCTAAATATGTAACACTTTTGAGCCTGAGTCTATGACATTGATTATCTCGCTAACAAATAGGCTTGGGTCATCTCGTGCTTCAGCTGTTCTACTTACTAAAGTACCGCAATCAATTATCACAATTTATTTCAGTTGACAAGAGATAGCATATGGATACATTTCAGTATATTGGACATTTACGAATCGAATACCGAGCAGAACGCTCGTAAACGCGAATATTTATGAAATCCGTTTACTAACCATATATTTAAGATGGTTACAAAAAAAGTTATACAAATATTTTTAGTGGTTTTCATAAGCGATTATGTATTGGCTCTTAGTTTTCCCGGTCCTCAAGTTTATGTCGTCACACCCGCGGCTCCTCGACCTTTTCAAGTGGATGCAAAGCCAGCGCCATTCTATTACCGCAATTGGATGAGGAGAATGGACTCTGGTGAGAACTCAACTTCGACCACGACTTCGACAACGACAACTACTCCGAGAGTGAAAACACCTGATCTCATTTTTGCAGAATTTGAGTCAGATGGAAGCATGAAAAAGTCAATAAGAAAGCTTTTGGAAAATGAAAGGATTCAACCGAAATCAACTACCTCTACTGCCCTACCAATTTATGTACCTGAAAATGAGTCTAGTAAAACAGGTAAAGCAGAATATGGCTTACCCGTGCCTATGGAAAGAGATGGTCACAAAATAGAAAATCAGAAAGTAGATAACGACTATTTTTCCATGTACAACAACTTTTACAATAAGGCACCAGCGCCCGTTTACTTGCCTACAACGACACAACGACCTACCATAGTTTCCACGACTACACCCTCAACCACGACTACATTAATTGGTAATGTAGAGAACATTTGGCATATTATAGACAATGAGAAGCGTAATGAAGAAAATGGAAAATGGGATGAAGTGCCACTGCCATCTTATGAGTACACAAGTGATGGGAATAATGACGACCTCAGTGGTGCGCATAAACCAGAAGCGGAACCCAACGATTCCCTTAAAAAGACTGATGAAGATGAAGACTCAATGGACGAAAACTTTGCTTTGCCAGGGTAATTTTTTATTTTTATAGATTTGTCTTCAATGACATTTTGATACATTATTTGTTAGTAGTTGCTTAAACCTATTGTATTAAATTACAGATTTGCAACGAATACTGGAAGCGCGGCTGAAAATGAGTCAAGAGCAATTCGCACTGAACAAAATATCCGATTTCCCTATGTTAATCTAAAACCATTTCAAATGAAAAACTTGCAAAAACCCATGCGGGATCTTTTGTCTAATAGTAAAAAGGGAAATAATTTATTAACTAGCTTAGACAATTTTTTCGAAACTAAAAATCCGGTAAGAGGGGAAGCGCAAGATTTTGGAAATACTCAAATGAACCAGCCCATTGATCGGTATAATCCCGCACAACCTTATTTACCTCAGGCCTACAGTAGCAAATCAAAGCAATCAGACCCAAATTCTTCACCACCAAAAGCCACTGCTAGCCTGGTTCCACCCCCACCTCCACCTTCTAATGGGGTCAATTTGCCATCTCCCATAAGTTATGATTCATTTCCTCCATACGCCCTAGGTTCTGACTTTGGGGCTTCATCGCCTTCGTTTCCAGCACCAGCCCCTATACCTGAATCACTCCCATCACCACCAGTACTCACTTCCAGTGATGATGATTCAACTGATACTTATTCTGGTCCTGGTGGAGAAAGCGATGGACCATCGATGGATATTGGATATCGTTATAAAGTGCCTCCTCCACCATCGCCACCAGCTTTTTTACCCACTGTAGCACCAACAAGTAAACCATTTATTGGCTATTCGTATAATAAGCCAGATATGCCATCCAACAACGTTAACTCCATGATGCCTATTGACCAAAATCAAGGTTTTAAAGGATATCACTATAGTAAACCGAAACCCAATCTTCAGGCTCCTCAACCTGAGACATATGATTCTCCTCCAAGTTATGGTCATCCAGATTCTGGCCCGACATATGGTTCAGCACCAGAGTATGGTGATTCGGGTCCCCCATCTGATCACCATAATTTCCCTTTCCTTGATTCTAATGGTAACGATTTTAAAGATGCTGGGATGATGCCTCCAGCGGATATAAAACCTTACGGTGGTCCCCCAAGTGATCATGGTTTTCCCATTGATTTTCCAACAGACTTTAAGTTCCCTCATGACTTCGATGACCATGATCATGATCACGATATGCATCATCCACCATCTTCTACAGAAATGCCTCGTGTTAATAGATTCAGCTACTATTATTTAGGGAAAAAGTTATATTACTTACCGCTATACTTCAGCGTTTACTTTATTGTTTATGTGGGGGCTTTAATTATTAAGGCAGTACTTCGTCATAAAATTGTTTACCCTAACAGTTGGAGGCCGAACACGACCACTGCCGGATTTTTCTCCAAGAGATCAGTCGATGATTTCCTTCAGCACGACAACATGCACGAATTGACTGGACGGATAACTCACGCGATAGCGACTGCTGCAGAGAAATATACTAAGAGCAAAAGAAAATAATTGTGTATAAGATGTTTTGCTCTTTTAAGTTTAACTGTACATATTAGAGAATTATCTAACAAAATACAGATACAGTTATTAATTTAAGGAACTGATAATATGATGTTGCGATCTGGACATATTTAATGCTCGTCAAACTGTTGTTATTTATTTTAAATATTTGTTCATTTGCTCAACATTAATAAATATTTTTATGCATAACTCTTACCTTTTACTCGACTCATAACTGACACCTAGAAAAAAGTTAGAAAGAAAGAAATTAATAAAACATTACAATACATAATAGTTATGGTTCTATGTTTGCTCCTTACCCTTTAAGATTTATACAAATAGAAAACTTTAATAATTTTAAGTAAACATTATCCATCTTCTTAGCTGTTCATTTCTATTAGAGAGGATACGTACGGCATTATATCTACATATATACGTACGTATATTAAATATGTAGAAACCAAAGTATAGATCGGGGTTTCCTTCGGGCTCATTAAACGAATCCACAAAAATAAGCATAAATATAATTTAAAATGTTGGCTATGCGAAATTATCAGTGATGATCATGTCATGCATACATCATGGTGAAGTTATTATCGATTTGATAATTTTGAGCTTTAAGTATTTACAATTTGTTTGTTTTAAGTACCTTAAAATATATTGAAAAACTTTTAGAATATTGTTAGCGAAGCTACATATATAGTATATAATATTTAATCAAACGTTTCATATTTAGGATTAAACCTCCACCTTCACCTCTGTTTATTTTAATTTTTAATTTTACTTAGATGTTATGGCGATGAATGTAATGAAGTTTTATTTCGTTCGCATTTGAAGTTGGTTTGTAATTCTAATTCTACTTTGAAAAGGAAAGTGTGCCTACTTGTATATTAATAAAGAATGACTTAATTTTAACGATTCGTTGAATTTCTGGTTAATTGTAGATCGTGTGAAATCTAAAAGTGGGACCTCGTCAAATAAAAATATATACCTATGGCTGAAGGGACTGCTATACTCTTAATTATTAATTTACGTTTTCGATGATTTCGCCCCTAATAACAGTGCTCAATAGAGGAATTCTGTAACTGACTGTTTAATTCCAAACAGATTTAAATATAACATTTTAACTAACAACTTAGGTAGGTACATTAAATATTTAGAGAATCACCATCCGCATAACACGTTCAACTTTCTTCTTTCATTCATCGAAGTCGTGATCCAAAGAGTTTTGGGAGATGTTAAATGAATTATGAAAATTTTAAATAATTCACACAAAATTAGGACCAGAATGTTAACTGGAGTTTGGACGATAAACGGAATACTCGTAGAATTATTTCCATCAGAACGAAATCGGCAATACTAAATAATCACGATTAAATGAAATTGAAGTTTCACGCTTTCACGCTGACCCAATTGTGATTTTTACATAATTTTTTTTTATTCAAATTAATCACCTTAAAATATGTATAGTGTTATGGTTGCAGCTCTGTTACAAACATTTTTTATAACAAAAAAAATAATTCGATAA